ACAGCAGGGTGCTCACCCCGGAACTAATGTCAAACGGGTTTTTGCTGCCTGCACTGCTGATCGCCGCTTTAACACTATTGTTTGGAAACCGTTGCGTCCTGCATGCGCCTGGGGGGAGGAAGGTGAGCAATGTCGGCATCCGCGAAGCTGGCATTTCTGGAGTGCAATGAGATCGAAGGTCTTCATGGGGCCCCCTCTGACCTGGGAACAAGGATGAGTCCAAAGGCACAAGCTCTGTGGTCCCAAACCCGCTTCCCACGTGTGGGGCCCGGGTCCTGCAGGGAAATAACTGATTTCCAGCCTGGCTCGGTGCACGCGGCCGAGGTAACCCGCCGTGAGGCACGAGGGGCGTCGAAAGGCTGAGGCAGGAACCCGGGGAGCGAGCGCGGCCCCAGCCATTGAAGGTCCACTCCAGCGTCCATCAGCCCAACCCCGGCCAAGAGCCACAACGATCAGCCCATGAGACCACCGCAGAGGTGGCTCCGTCTCCACCTTTGTGGCCTGGCCTGGCCGGCAGGGTCTGGGGGACACCGAGCTGGTGTCCACAGGTGGCTTGCAGGGCCACGTGGGAGGCGCTGGGCAAGCTGCGATCCACTTTCGCTCTTGTGTGTCCACACCCGCAGAGAGCAGTGAGCAGCCAGCAGGGCACCAGGACGGGCACAAAGGACCCTGTCCCTCAGACGCCAGGGGCTGTGTCGGGTCCTGATGTCTGTGAACCCCGATGTCTGTGAGCCCCAAGGCAGAGAGAAACAGCAGGGCCCTCGTGCTGCAGAAAGTGACACAGACCTAGCCGCCCTCACCTCACCCCGTCTGAATAATTACAAAGCAAGATGTCCGAGGAGATGCTCATGCTCAAGTTTCTACAGATGGGTCGGGCTGGGCATAGTGGTGCACGCCTGTAATCCCAGCTCTCGGGAGGCTGAGGCAGGGGGATCACCATGAGTTTGAGGCCAGCCTGGCCTGACTCCCTGGAGCTATCTTTGGACCTGCCTGCTCCCTTGGCACCTAACACGTTAACCCAGCTTGTTCCCACCAGCCGCTCAACACTGGCACAGCGGCCTGGATTAAGATGTGTCTCTTCCTCGGTAGCCAGCGCTAGTTCTAATTATAGCATCAGACTCACAAGCATATTTACCTCTCCTCCCTGGCCTCGGCTTGTGGTTAAGACTCAGTGTCTCCTGCCTTGGCAATCAGTGACAGGTGAGCCAGTGTGCTCTGGGGCTGCTACGGAGAGGGCAGGGGGTCGAGGAACTCGGGTGTTAGTCATGTTTGTAAGCATAAGCTGTGCATGGCCAGGATTGTGTAGATACACAGGAAATGCTCCCTGCGGGCCTCCATCCTACCGGGACAGGAAGCAGGGTCTGCCATGAAAGTATGTGGCATGAGAAGGCACAGGATGGTAGGAGCCCTGAGTCCCCAGGGACGGCTGTCATCCTGCCCTGATGACCCATCCCTGCCTGTCCTCATCTGCTTAGCAAATTGCAAGTGTGTGATATTTTCCTTTTCCTGTTCTTTTATTGAGACAGGGTCTCACTATGTAGTCCAGGCTGGCCTGAAACTTGCAGAGATCCTCTTGCCTCAGCCTTGCAAGTACTGATATTACAGGAAGGAGTCACCACGCCCAGCTCAAAGTTCATTTTCTTTTGATGCTAATCTGTAAATACCCTTGGCCATAGCCTCTGGGGTGTCCTGGGGACAACCACTGCCCCACCTCATATCTGCTTCCTCCCTGAGCACCAACCCTGGAGCTCACGGAGGCTGGGGCAGTGAGGCTGCAGGATCTGTCCCTGGGCCAGGGATAGAGAGGTGACAAGAGAAGGATGCTTCTCTTTCCTTTTCCTTTAACCCATTCCCTGCAGCCATGGAAGGAGACAAGTGTGGGGAGGACAGAGCTGAGGGTTAGGAGGGGACTAGAAAGCAAGAGTCTTTGTGGTGGGTGAGCTGCGAGAGGTGCACACAGGTGCAGTGGCTGTGGTGTCCCCTGGTCTCTAGGTTGGGGCATCATAGCAGAAGGCTCCAATGTGTTCCAGAATATTCCCAAAGATTCCAGAATGTTCCAGCATGTTCCAGAATATTTCTGACTGTTCCAGAAACTACCCCTGGGCAAGTATCTCAGTTCAACTGAGGAGCAGACTGGGAATGCCATAACCATCCCTGTTAGATGAGCCTCCCAATCTGCAACCTCGCCCTGGTCCACTCCTAGCTATTGCACATTATCCATGCATTTGTCCATGGGAGAGGTTCTTACTGGTCTCTCCTGCACCCCAGCTCATGCAAGGCACCAAGGACCTGTGGCAGTTCAAGGCTGCAGTCCCCTGCCCTTGAGCAGCTCAGACCCAGCTGCAACAAAGACAACCAGGCTAATGTCTGTGGTACCGAGTGGCAAGTGTGAGAGAGAAAGCTGTGAGCCTTGGCAAGAGGTCATGAAGCGAGACTCAAGGCTGCATGGGGTCAGGAAGATCCCGCAGGGACAGGGCGGAAGACGGCGGCTTTGGGAAGAGGCTGCCACAGCCATGCCTGACATCTTAGCAATGACAGCAGCTCACTGAGCTAGGCCAGAAGAAAGATCAGCTGCTGTCTGCCGGTGATTTGCCTCTCTAATGGCTGATTCACAAATAAGACATGCTTACGTGGGGGCTGGGGATTTAGCTCAGCAGCACAGCACCTGCCCCGCAAGCGTAAGGTCATGAGTTCGATTCCCGGTACTGGAAATAAATAAATAAATAAATAATAAGAAATGCTTATGTGGCTCACGGTTCTGGGGGCTGTGGAGTCCATGATCAAGGACCCTCTGGCTGGCAATGATTTGGTGGAAGGTAGTGCCCTTCTACCATGATGTTCCTGCCCTGAAGCAGCTAGCCATGGACTGTACCCTCTGAAACCACGAGCCAACTCCACCCTCTCCTGTGAGCGATGGGCGTCAGATGTTGCCTCCCAGCCACAGGAAAGCTTATAGACTTCAACACCTAATCTTTCACTAAAGCCCTACCTCAGCATGGTGGCCCTGGGGGTGAGCTTCCAACACGTGAACGCTGGGGATACTTCACATCCTAGCAGGAGGAGCCCCAGAGGGGCACAGACCCAATAAGAGGGGCCTGTGGGGTGGCTGAGCTCTGGGCAGAAAGAGGTGCTGTGGACAGTGTCTGTCCTCAGGCTGGGAAGGTCATGGCCTTCGTAGAGACCAAGTTACAGCCAGGCCCTACAGGTGTCCACGAAGCAGGCCTGAGGCCCTCCTGGCCCAAAGCCACCACCATCAGAGCCCCGTGAGCTCCTCCAGGAGGCACCAGGAGCTGCTCTGGCACCTTGCACGGCTTCCTGTCTCCACCCACAGCCTGTGCCCAAGCAGCTGTCCCAGAGCAAAGGAAATGTGGCCTTTCACTCTGCTGCAGTGGATCACTTGGAATCTGGCCTCAGGTGTCACTGCAGTACCTTTGTGTCCCAGGCTCTGCGTCAGTACACTGCTTGCAGTACATTGCTGCCCATCTCCCAGGCCCCTTGCTGGGCTGAGGAATAACCCAGGGGACCCTGGGGGGTAGACAGGCTAACTTAGAAGTCAGCAGGAAGCCAGTAGCTTCCTGCCCCCAGAACTCCACCATCACCAAATCACCTCTACTCCCAGCACTCAGGAGGCTGAGGCAGGAGGATCCTGTGTGTTCAAGGCCAGCTGGGTCTACACAATCAAAATTCAAGGCCAGCTTAGACTACATAGAGAGACCTTGTCTCAAAACAAAACAAAATAAAACAAAACAAAACATCACTAAATCCAAAAGATTTGAGGTTAGAAAAGAAATAAACGCTAAAAAATCTTAATAAGCATTATCTAAATAAAACAACTATAATTCATTGGTTAAGAAATAAAACAAGCTGGAGCTAAAATATTGGCTAAAACTAACAAAATTGGGTGAGGTGATTATTGTGAAATTTTTTGTATTTGAGACAGAATGGGAGAAGGACAGAATAATCACAGAACTTCAGAAACTGATTGAATATATATGTTCAAATTTTAAGGACAACCACTAAAAAAATAAAGAAATTTAAAAAAAACCTAGGGAAGGAAAACAAGTTGTAACTTCTAAAATAACAGAGAGGGGAAATGAAAATTTTTTAAAAATTGCAAGGTAAAGAGAAAGTATAAAGTTAGAATGTAAAAAAAGTTAACGTATCAAAACTTATAATAAATATAAATGAACCACACTTGCTAGTTGAAAGGCAGAAGTTGCTGTTGGGAATGGTGGAACGCACCTGTAATCCTAGCAATTGGGAAGCTGAGGCAGGAAGATTCCTGCCAGTTTGAGGCCAGTCTATGCTGCATGGTGAGTTCAAGGCCAGCCTGGACTAGGCAGGAAGACTCTGTATCAAGAAAAAAAGAGGCTGTCAAATGGTTTTGCTTTTGTTTTTCTAGGACAACCTTATGCTGTTTTGGAGAGCACACACTTAAAAACATACGGACCCATATTTAAAATAAACTGATGGAAAACAACATAGCAGCAAATGTTTACCAAGAGAAAACTAGAATAGCTATACTAATTGGGGAGGGCTGGGCATGGTGGTGCATGTCTGTAATCCCAGCATTTGGGAGGCTGAGGCAGGAGGATCACTGTGTGTTTGAGGCCAGCCTGGGCTACACAAGTGAGTTCAAGGCCAGAGTGTACCACACAGGGAGATCCTCCCTCAAAACACAAAGGAAAGGAAAGGGAGGGCAGAGGAGGGGAGGGAGAGGGGGAAGGGAAGGGGGGAGGGGAGGGCGGGGGAGGGGCAGAGAGGAAGGAAGAAGCCAGCCAAAGCAAAGCAGCACCCCCATGCCCAAGGGCTGCTGGCCCAGCCCCCTCCCAACACCTCGCACACCTATGGGTACACATTTAGTGTCACCCACCTGATCCATGTCCTGGGGGCGCCCTGGGAGCCCCGTCTGCCCAGGCCACTGCCGGGCCTTATCGGACCCCACCGGCTCCTGTCTTGGAGCAGAACTATCGCAGGGATCCGAGTAGGATGGAAAGGTAATGCTGCCCCCTGCTGGCCGAGATGTGAACTGCAGTCACCGGGGACGGCTTCCCACCGTGGCTTCATCTGTACAGATACCGGAGGAAGGCGTGGAGGCGCACGCCTGTATCCCACACTCGGGAAGCTGAGGCACGAGGATCTCACTGAGGTGAAGGCCACCCTGAGCCATACACTGAGGCCCTGTCTCAAAAAACCAACGATGTGGGGCCTTCAAGAGGAAAATTTGGGGCTAGAGATTTAGCTCAGCGACATAGCGCCTGCCTGGCAAGCGCAAGGTCATGAGTTCGATTCCCGGTACGGAAGAGAAAAAAAAAAAAAGGAAAATTTGCATTTCTCGAGGTACAAATAGGAGTGTTCTGTAAGAGGTGCATGAATTATTATTAATGGCAAACCCTGCAAATACAAAATAGAATCCAAATCTCTGGTCACAGAGCTCAAAATTTACAGGTAATAAAACGCGAGGAAATAGACTCAAGTTTATGGCCTGTCCAATATTTACTCCACGGACATCATCTGCAGAAGCACTTGGCCACTGTACGCACAGTGACCCTTACGCACGCCAGAGGGTTCTGTAAAAACGACACTGTAGACAAATCTGCACGCCCATCCGCCAGCGCGAGTCTCAGTCCCCAGGGGCAGCGAGCCACGGAAAGCAGGGTACCTGAGGTTTCCTGTCTTCAGTTGCCCGATCAGCATCCCAAATATACATTTCAGGGTTGGTTTTTGTTTTTAAAGATACTTTGCTTGAATATGTGCACTATGGCTAAAATTTAAAAACAATAAAAAAAAACCCAACCACTTGAAGAAGCTGAGCATCGCTGCCCCACCCGGGAGACTTCACGCGGCTCCAGTGTGGTGAGGGTGTGCTGCGTCCCTGGCTGCGTCCCTGGTCACACCGTCCCCTTGCTGGCGCCTCGTGAAGCTTTAAATTATTATATTAAATTTCTCCCAGATGACGCGTTCTCGTCTCACCTCTGTTTGGCTTCGTGCCACTGCCAGTCTGCGCCCCATGTCCTGTCCTCTCCACATGACTTTCCGGTGCACCTTGTACTGGAATCTGCATATCATCTTGCCATCTAGAAGTATCTGGATGCTTACACAAATGCATTTTAAACACACAAAAAACCAACCATGTGCTTCTTCTTTTTTTTTTTTTGTCTCTTTTTTTTGAGACAGGGTCTCGCTGTGCAGTTCAGGCTGGCCTTGAGCTCACTTTGCAGCCCAGGCTGGTCTCGAACTTGCAACGATTCTCCTGCCTCAGCCTCCTGAGTACTAGGATTATAGGTGTGCACTACCACGCCCGGCAACAATATACTTCTAACTAGAGGCTAGTGTAGGCAATTTAGCGAGAACCTTATAATAATAATAATAATAACAACAGTTAAAGACATCATGTCTCAGTGATCCATGCATACCTGTGTTTATAGCAGCACAACTCATAGTAGCTACATTTTGGAAACAGCTGAGTGGGTAAAGAAAATGTGTTTACACACAATGGAGCACTACTCCGCCATAAAGAAGGATAAATTTGAGTCCTGTGTAGGGAAATAAATGTGCCTGAGACCATATTTTTGTTTGTTTGTTTGTTTTGGTACTGGTAATTGAACTCATGACCTCAGGCTTGCCAGGCAAACGCTGTGCCACTGAGCTACATCCCTGGCCCCGTGAGACCTTAATGTTAAGTAAACCACACAAGCTTAAATACCATATGATTTCTCTTATATGAGAAACCCAGGATATAAATAAAGAGCAAAGTAAAAGGGAGATGATCAGACACAAGGAGACAGATCTTTTGCACCAGGGAAGGGGCCCGGCATCAGAGGGCGGAGGGGCGGGAGCTGAGAGCTCCCCAGGCCGCACGCGTGGCCAGCAGGGGCAGCACTCGGCGGCCACAGAGCTGATGCAGCTGAACCCGCCCGTTCCCAGGGCAACGTCAACACTGCAGCTCCGCTGCAGCCTGGTGGCCCGGCGGCGGCAGAGCTCGGGGCCAGGGGCCCCCCATACGCCTGCAGCACGGGGGACGGACCCACTCCCAGGCTCCTGCGCACCACACCTGCCAGGTTGCCTGCCTCAGTTTCCCCAGCGGCACAGGGGTTGACGCGGGCGGCCCTGGGAGCGCAAGGGGACGAGCTGTGGAGACAGGTGGTGGAGGCTGAGGGGCGCGGGCAGCGGCGCTGGTGAAGTGCTCCCCCAAACTGCAGCCCGACCAGGGGCCCCCCCGGGTGGGAAATCCACGGCCCAGGGACAGAGCCGGAGTGGGGCAGGGTGCAGGACAGAGCCAGCTCTGTGTTTTATTTTGAAACAGGCTCTTGCTAAGTTACCTAGGCTGGGCTCAAACTTGCAAACCTCCTGCCTCAGCCTCCCAGAGCACTGGGATGAGACACACGTCACTCTACCTGGCTAAAAAAATAAACCAATTCCAACAGAAATTAAACTATCAGCACAGCCCGCCCCCACCTCTGCCCGGAGCCGCAGGCCTGCCATGTTACAAAGGCCCCTGCTGTACTGGGTTTCTTCCCAGGCGGCCTCTGGAAATACTCGGAGGCTCGGGGGTGACTGGGCCTCGGGTTTTCCTAGCAGCAGCGTCACCACCTGGAACGGATCACTGGCCACTTCACGATTCTGTTATAAGTGGTTCCAGTTCTGCTCCTGCTGCACTGCGACGCGGCCTTACTTGAGGCGCACAGCGAGAGTCTCAGCGCCTTGGGTGCGGGGGCGCACACCTGCGGTCCTGGCTGAGGCAGGAGGAGCCCAACTTGGAGCCCACTCTCGGTAACTTAGTGACCTGGTGAGATCTTGAGTTCAGTCCCCACTACCGCAAAGTGAACCACGAAAGAAAGCAGGGGTGAGAGTTCACAGGGCCAATGCGCTTTCCCTTTCCAGGACTGAGAGTCGGGCTTTCCTGAAAGACTACGATCCCGTGCTAAGGCAGACGCTGTCGTCCGTCCAGCCTGAGCGCGCCGCTCTTCCCTTCCCTCCGCAGTCGCTCCTTGAGCCTCCTCTTGGCTCCATTGCTGGTGTGTGGATAGCTCTGTTTTAAGCAACTCAGGGTCTGGTGGGGAAGAAAATTTTACACAGAACACAGAAAAATTTCCACCATATTTGTTGATCGTATTGAGATGGAGCAGCTGGGAATGGTCAGCACTTGACACCCGAACATTTCCCTGGCGCACAATGCGTGTGCCAGGCCCCAAGGGAAAACCAGCTTGGGTAAAAACACACCAGGAGTGAATTCCCTGCGTCTGATGGAAGCCCCTCCTGTTTACAGCCAGCCTAGATGCGACACTGGGGGGCTTTCCTAATCTGCGGCACTCGCCGGGTGCGGTGGCGCACACCTGTGACCCCAGCACTTGGGAGGCTGAGGCAGGAGGATTGCCATGAGTTCGAGGGCAGCCTGGGCTACACAGCGAGACCCTGTCTCCAAAACCAACAAAAGAAAGCCAGAGAGGCCACCTGCTCTCAGCCACGTCCCTGGTGTGTGCGAGGCTGTGGCCCAGCTGTCCCCTCTTCTCAGGGCAACAAGAAGGAGCCTGAGCAGCTGCCGGAGCACGGGCCGCGCTTCTCGGACACGGTCCCCGTTGCCAGCAGCCAGGTGGTGGGCAGCAGGCTGGCCACGCCGCTGGGTAGGGCCCTGGTCTGCATGGACTTCGAGTTCGTGGAAGGGACAGCAGGAAGAGGCCGGGGGCTGGGCTGCAGCCTGCCTAGACAGGGGCTTACTCCGCAGGTGGGTGCAGGGGAGGAGGGGATGCAGAGCATCAGTCCAAACCCCGGGCATGTGCCTGGGACCCCAGCATTCAGGAGGCTGAGGCAGGAGGATCGCTGTAAGCTCAAGGCCGGTCTGGGCTGCCTAGTGAAAACAGAACAAAGCAACAAGAACTCCCCTGGAACTGAGCAGCTGCTCCCTCCTTCGCCCTCCCCTCAGAAATGCTCCGGAGAGAAGGAAACCAGCAGGGGGCACGGTGGCTGCTTTTCCTTGGACCCTTGCCTGGGTTTTGTTCGAAGCAGCTGAACCTCAGCTTATACCCCATCCCCTGAGGAACTGCGTTTTCGGGACCCATGGGTGTGGAGACACAGCATGGAGAAGTTAGTGGTAAGCCTAAGCCCACATAGCCGGCAGATGGCGGAGCTGGGCTACGAACTCTGGTTCAATGGCCCCCGGAGCCTCAGGCTCAGGCAGAGGCCCAGACCCGAGGCAGCCAAGGGCCAGACCTTGACCTTAGCTCAGGCAGCTGAGCTGTGACTATAGGGGTTCCGTTTAAAAAAATCGAACTCTCTTTTTTGGATGGCACCGGGAATTGAACCCAGGGCCTTTGCACTGAGCTCCATCCCCAACTCTTTTTTGAGACAGGATCTTTCTAAGTTACTAGGTAGCCCAGGCTGTGCTGGAATTTGGGATCCTCCTGCCTCAGCCTCAGAATGCTGGGATGAGGGGCTTGGGCTGGGCTCCTCTCCAGGGTCTTGGGCCCCTAAGATGCCAGGGACCATGCCACCCCACTCCAGCTCCAGGGCAACCTGTCTGGGGCTGGGCTGACCTGGGCTGCAGCTGCAGGCTGGGAGGGGACCTGGCCTGCGTGTCCTGTGACCAGAGTGGCTGCGAGATCCCTCCTGTGACCTCCTCCAACAAGACGCCTCTGCCCTGCCCTTCCGGTCCACACCAGAGCCAGGGAACCCCGACCCAGGACCTGTGCAGGATGGGGCACCAGCTTTGCGCAGCTTTGGGCCCAAGGGGGCGGAGTGACGCCACTAATCCCAGTCCTCCAGGAGGCTGAAGCAGGAGGATCACATGTTCCAGGTCAGCCTCGAGTTTAGCGACACCCTGTGTCAAAATTAATATACCTACCAGTTCCACACAAGGAATGTGAACATTATTTACTGCAAACATGTGCTAATAAAAAATTAAAAACAATACAAGGGGCTTGAGATGTATCTCAATGCAGAGGTTCAATCCATCGTTTCCTACCCCTCGTCCCAACAGAATGGTTTCCTACCCCTCCGCGAAGGGCTCCCGTCTGCCCGCTAATCGCCCTCCCCGGGAGCCTACAGCAGGATCCGACCTCGCACAATCTGAGGCACGCGGAGAAGCGGCTCAGCGGCGAGCAGAACTGGGCGGGGCGGGACCGCTGGGGGGGCGGGGCGCGGTGAAGGTGGGCGGAGCTACCCCAGGGAATGGGCGGGACGAGTCGGATGCTGGCGAATAGGGTGAGCAGAGCTAATACGAGAGGCGGGTGGACGGGCTGGGGGCGGGGCCAGGGAAAGGGGAAGGAACTAGTCAGGGGGCGGGGCAAATGGGGGCGGGATAGATCTGAAGTAGGCAAATAGGCGAGCGAAGCGGCCGCGGGGCGCGGCGCCTGCAGTGGCCCGGGCCGTGGGCGCGGCGCTGCGCGTGGGAAGGCGGAAGGAGTCCGCGCGGGCCGCACCCGGTCGGCTTGCCATGGAGGCCGCGCTGCTGTGGTTCTGCAACTGGAGCACGCTGGCTGTGTGCGCCGCGCTCAAGCTGCCGCAGATCCGCGCCCAGCTGGCGGCGCGCAGCGCGCGGGGCGTCAGCCTCCCGAGCTTGCTGCTGGAGCTGGCGGGGTGAGCTCCCCGGCGGCCGGGGGAAACAAGGTCCCCCAGGGCGGGGCGGCCTCGGGAGCTGGGCCGAGGGCGCTTCCGGGCCTCGTCCACCGCGTGCACTGCTCCGTGATGTCCGTCCGAAGACGGGGAGGTCGGGCGGAGTCTGGACTCTTGCCTTTGTGGACACATTTTTTACTTTGAGACAGTTGCCCAGGCCTGGGCTCGAACTTATGATCCTCTTGCCTCAGCCTCCAGAGTGCTGGGATCGCAGGTGTGCGCCACCACCCCGAGACAAGTGCACCTCCAGCCTCACCTTGTCTCTAAACCCACCCCGCACTCTAAACCTCTTTTCCGGCCTGATTCCCTCACCGGCGGTAAGGGGAGAGGTTGGACTTTGATCTAAGAGCCCGGTTTCGGGCTCGGACAATGGAGAGATCTTGGGAGAGGAGACCGGAGAAGAGACTGCTGCAGGTGTGGGCTGACCCGCCGGAAATCCGGCTGGGAGCCCCTACTCGGAACCTAAGAACAGGAACACAACAGGGCAGGTGGCTCAGGGCTGTCATCCCAACACTCCGGGAGGCTGAAGCAGAAGCATCGCAAGTTTCTCTAAGTTTGAGCTCACTCTGGGCAGTTTAGCAACTTAACAAGACTCAGTCACAAAATTAAAAAAACCTGGGAGCTGAGCTCAGTGTAAAGGCCAGGGCAGGGGTGGAAGCGGCCACAGCGACTGGCGGGTGGGCGGGGCAGGCTGGGGGAGGGCGTGGGGAGCGGGGCGTGGCGTTGGCCCGCGTCCCCGACGGACTGGTGAGAATCCGAATCTGCGGTTTGCAGCGTGAGCGGGGTTGGGAGCCCTCGCCGGCCCAGCTGCTCTACCTGCTTCCACAGCGGCCACTCTGCCCCGTGGGTTAGGGCCACCTCTGCTGTCACGCAGTCCCCAAGTCCAGGTGGCAGCCGATAGGCAGCACTTGATCCTAGCCCCGTGGGGTCGGGTGAGAGCGGCCCCTCCGGGCCCTCTCCGTCCCTTCTTCACCCACAGCCGCAGGCGAGCGGGACCCTGGCTGCCTGCCTGCCCGAGTGCGGGCTTCACCCTCACCTGAACTGCCCCCTCCCTTTCCTGGTCCTGACGGCCGGCCCGGCTGTGGTGGGGTGGGACACAGAAGGCTCCCTGCTGGCCTGGGGACCTCTGTGACCCGGATCTGAGCAAAGTCACTCTAAAAACCCGTGCCTGAAGACTGGGTCACCTGCTGCATGGGCCCGGGCCTAAAGAACCCAGGAGGTGCCTGTGACCCAGGGCTAGCAAACTATACCTGCAGCCATGTGAATGTTTATTATTGTTTGCAGGACATAATGATTACATACAGTACGTGCCCATAATTTTTATTATTTGTGAGACAAGTTCTCACTAAATTGCCCAGGCTGGGCTCAAATTTGAGATTCTTCTGCCTCAGCCTTCTGGAGTGCTAGGATGACAAGTGTGGGCCACCACACCCCACCTGGCTAGCAGATGACCATTTTGAGAGATGGTCATGGTGAGTCATGGGCTTTGCACGTAGCACGACACCCAGCAGCTAGTGGATGTACCCCAAAGGTGCAGGTCACTGATGTGACATTTCATCTGATTTGTTCCAAGGCTTCCTCCTGGACCCTGGGCTCCAGGACTTGGCAGAGGTGCCAGCCTTGGGGCTGGCTGGCTGCAGCTGGGCTGATGGTGTGTCCTCTCTGTTCCCAGGTTCCTGGTCTTCCTCCGCTACCAGTGTTACTACGGCAGCCCAGTGCTCACCTACCTGGAGTACCCCATCCTCATTGTGCAAGGTAGCTGTCCTTGCTTTGCACCCCGCATCCCTGGCTGTGCCCTGGGGCTCCCCTTCGTCCTCTCACCGCAGCCTTTCTTCCAGATGTTGTCCTCCTGCTCTGTGTCTTTCATTTTAATGGGGACATGAAACAGGCTGCACCGTACCTGGCTGTGTATCCTTTTAACACTGAGAATCTGAGTGGGATTAGAGGGGCCAGGCCAGGTGGCTCAGTGGTAGAGCCCATGGGTCAGGCCTGGGTTCCATCCCCAGCCCAGCAGAAAGAAAAAGGAAAAAAAAAAAAAAAAAACCAGGCATGGTGGTACATGCCTGTAATCCCAGCACTCAGGAGGCTGAGGCAGGAGGAGCACTGAGAGTTCGGGGCCAGCCTGGGCTACGTAGTGAGACCCTGTCTCAAGAAAACAAAAACAAACCAAAAGTCAATGAAGCATCCCCAGTTCTTCCATTGGCTCATCTGTCACCCTTGTGGTCCGGGTTCTTCTGCAGAGGCTGTAGCGGGTGGCAGGGCTGCCAGTGACCCTCGGCTGTGTCCTTAGCCTTGGGTGAGATTTGTGTCCTCCTGGTTCATCCTCGGGCTGCACAAGGGGGTTGTCGACCTGGCCATGGTAAGTGACGAGCCCCTCTGTGCGCACGGCCCCTCCTCACCCCGCCTGCCCTTGACTTTAGATCTGGCAACTGAGCCACATCCCCATCCCTTTTCCATCTGTTATTTTGAGAGAGAATCTTGCTAAGTTGCTCAGGGTGGGCTTAAAGTTGGGGCTTTAAGCCCTGCAACTTTAAGCCCTGCCTCAGCCTCCCAGACTGCCGGAATTATGGACTTCTCCAACGGCAAGTGTCCCTCCCCCCACACCCGCCCACTTCGCTTTCCTGGCGGCAGCAGTCCGGAACAGCCGCTCCACCCTCCCTTCTCCTCACCCCACCCGCCCCTGTGCCTTTTACGTCCTGTTCTTAGACTCCCCAAGGCCAGAAGAGGGGCTTGGGCCCAGCCCTGACCGCTCTCTCACCACCCAGCTGCCCTGGCTTAGCACAACCTGAGTTCCCGGCGTCTCCAGCCCACCCCGCCCTCCGCGGCTCCCCTGGGAGCTCCGTTCTGAAGGTGGCGGCAGGGCACACGCGGGGCTGCAGGACTCATGGGCAGGAGCCTGAGGTTCTGGTGCTGTGCCCTCAGCACTGAGCCCCGTCGGTCGGGTCGGGCAGCCTGAGTCCCTCCGGACTCAGAAGCCTGGTAACCTGGGCTGTACTTTTGGGGACAGAGCTGTGGGTAGCCAAGACTGATGCAGCACAGGATCCCTCCTGCTTCCCGTGGGATTGGTGGGCTGGAAGAAACCTCTCACAGTGACATTTTAGCCCCCACCAAACAGGTTTCAGTCTCACCTGGCCTGAAAACTTGGCTTAATAAAGCAATGTGAATAGCAGGGTGTGGTGGCACACACCTGTAACCCCAGCATGCAGGAGGCCGAGGCAGGAGGATTGCCAAGAGTTGGAGGCCAGCCTGGGCTACAGAGACCAGACCCTGTCTCTAAAGCAAAACCGAACAGCACTCTGACTATCTGCTGCTTTTTGGCTTTGTAACTAATGGGCTCGTGGCTTTCTTGTTTGCAAACAGAACTTGTGCACGTTGGTCAGCGCGGCCAGCAAACTGGCCCAGCTCCAGTACCTGTGGAAGGCGCAGGACTCGGGTGCCGCCAGTGCACTCACCTGGGGTCTCTCTGCCTACACCTCTGCAGGTGAGGATGCACCCTGGCTGGTGGCCTCAGCCACTCTGTCTCCCTGGAAGCCAGTGAACTTGGTGTCTAAGCATTTCTGCCCCTTGGGCTTTTAGTATTCTGCAAGTAGCTACTCAGCTAGAACCTGCTAACGAAGAGTGTCTGTATTTACAAGGTGGAGTCAGCTGGACATGGTGGTTATTCACGGCTGTAATCCCAGCACTAGGGAGGCTGAGGCAGGAGGATCGCCATGAGTTTGATGTAGCCTGGGCTACATAATGAGCTCAAGGGTACCCTGAACTACACAGCAAGACCCTATCTCAAAAAACAGAAACAAAAGCAGTTTTCAATTAGTGGGGGCCTTTCATGAGGCTACTAGCTCGTGTGCAAATGAGATTTAATGGCTGCTTTTTGAGGTTGGGATGTGAGTCTCCAGGTGGCTGTGAATTACAAGACCGCCTCGTGTTGTGACCCACACACACCTTTCAGGAACTGTCCACACACCGCAGTGTAAGAAAGGATACTGGCTAAACACCAACTTGTCTGTGAAGCAAGTTACTTATGCTGTTACTTTCCTTTTTCAGCAAGAATAATAACAACTTTCATGACCACTGGTGATCTGACAGGTAAGCAATGCTTTTCCTCGCCTTTCTGGTGGGCATGGCAGTGGCTGGGCCTCCTTAAGTGGGAACATTTTAGGGTTAGTAGGTTGACTCGCCTGGCTGTGATTAGAGACTAGAGGAAACGGCCAGGTCTGCACTGACACCAAGTGTGAGGCTCTCCTTGATTGACTTTGTTTTGTTTTGTTTTTTGTTTTTTTCTGGACCGGGAATCGAACTCACGACCTCGCGCTTGCCAGGCAGGCGCTGTGCCGCTGAGCTAAATCCCCAGCCCCTAGGCTCTCCTTGAAAGACCTGCAATAGAGTAACACGAGTGGATTCCCACCCTGGGGAGGTTCACTCGCTTCAGCAGGGAAAATAGTGGTCTCCAACTCACTGTGTAGCCCAGGCTGGCCTTGAACTTGCAGTGATCCTCCTGCCTCAGCCTCCCTAGTGTTGCAATCACAGGTACACAGCACCACACCTGGCTGAGCTTTTTCAACTCTCAAATGGAGAGCGCTCTATGAACCCTCAGAAGAGGGTTAGGTTAGAGACAGCCCCGTTTTTGTCTGATTCAGTGAAGATCAGAAAGTGTCCTCAGCATGCAGTTCCTGGCAGGAAGCTATTTACTGAGAAATGCAGCCTCAGAACGGGAGCCACCTCTGCTAGGTTGTCCCAGAGGCTCTTACTGGGCCCAAATACAGTATTTTCTGCCGGCTGTGACTATAGGATTAAAGTGGGCCTATCAAAGCATAAACTCTGCTGCAGTGGAGAACAGGAAAAGTAATGGCCTGGGTCTGCCTGCTCTGCAGCACTAATGTCACACCGAACCCACATGGAAAGCCAGATCGGGAATGTTCGGTGTGATCCGTGTGCCCCGTGCCGCTGCCCCTGGGAAGTGAGCAGTGTATGAGGATGAGCTTCAAAAGCGGGGTAGCTGCAGGGTTAGCTTCAGTTTCACATCCTTATTTGCACCACTTTCCCAAGGGTCTCTGACGGACAGCTGTTCCTGGTTACTCCGTTAAGAAACAGGCTCAGACAGCGGCCTGTTCTTCAGATGGACCCTAACAGGCGCTTACACTGCTGTCCACAAGTGGGTGCAGGGACTGTAGGAAGTGTGAAGTGTCCGGGTCAGAGCCAGCACTCAGTGGAGGAACGTTCCTCAGGAAGTCAGGCCAGTGTAGGACGATCGCTTCTAGAGAACAGTTGACCTGTACTTTGGGGTTCCTGGGGCGCTGGAGGTGAGGCTTTCTTTGGACTTGTGTTTACACGGGAGGAACTTTCCACCCAGAAGGAAAGGTCTTAACAGTCTCCTCTCTGTTGCAGTTCTCACGCGTTTTGTGATCATGCTGGCCTTAAACATCTGGGTGACAGGGACAGTGCTGCGCTACAGGAAGCCCAGTTCCAAGGCCGAATGAGAGCTGCATCGCTGTGCCCCAGGAAAGACGGGGTGACTGAGCAGAGGAAGCAGTGCCACAGCTAGGCCAAGGGCTCCTGCAAAGCTAGTCACCCATTCCAGAAACTCGAAGCCAGAGGTTTTGTGGGTGTGCAAGAGCCCCTTAAACGTGGGTTGTAAATGCCACTTTCTGTCCCCACCCCCACTCCTTGGAGTCTTGCAGAGCTCAGAAACGCAGCTTTCGCAGTGTCACGGTGCCCACGGACCCTTCCCTTTGAGCTCTGCAGCCTCGAGGTGTTTTAAGTCTCCCCATGATTCTGATGGAACAGGACAGTCAGAAGCAGAGCTGTGGCCAGCGGGTAGGGCTCACTCTGGGGACCGTATGGGCCAGGCAGGGGGCAGAGGTGGGGATCAGTCCTGGGTCCGAGATGCACACCAAGTGTCCTTGACTCCTGCACACCTTGCAAGGCTCTGAGTAACGGCTGCTAAACGCTGTTATTCTCTTACTATTTTGTTAGGAAATTCTGTTTTCATAAAAAATGTCCAAAGGGGAAAAAAAAGGAATTCCTAATGCAGGTACTGTAGGAAACAACTGCTCACCACAGGGTGAGTGCATCTCTAACAACCTTCCTCAGGCAAAGAGCCGCGCATGAGGGCATCCATCACCTGCGCAGCTGCCGTCATTGGGATTTGGTGCCAAATCCCAGCTTTAGCTCTTGAGAATATATGGGTTCTACCCTCAGCATAGTATCTCACTCTAAACATGATGCCAAGGCTCTTGCGCATTGAACTTTAACATTTAGCTCACTTCTACATTTGAACTACATTTGAACATGTCTGGTTTCTCGGGGTAAAGTAAACTTCCATAGTTTGAATTCTGAATCTTGCGGCTATCATTATTTTAAACTGTAATGTATATTTCTCAATAAACTGGTTAATTCTTTTAGAACTAGTGCTTGGGACAAACGGGAAGAGAAATGCAGTACCTAAAAATAAATTACTCCTTTTTATGTAGTTATTTCGATCATAGCTTTTAAAAAATCCAAGTTCGTTTTTTCTCATAAGTACTTAGAATATATCCACTAATATAAAGACTGTGATATTTATCCCAACAAATGTTTTACGTAGCTGTACTGTACACTTTAGGAACACACTTACTTAGGGGAGGAGTTTCTGATTTTCCCTTTGGGCATTTCAAATGCAATGCTGTGTTCTCCCCTCGTGACACCACCTATAGCTATGGCAGAAACCCTTGCGGTCTGAGTCTGCCTGGTCCTAGAAACCAGGCCTGGCCTCCTGTACCATCCTTGCTGACTCCAGTGGCATTTTTAGGTCTGTGACCTTTAGGTGCCCAGGGGACACAGGCTCCTGGCTGAAACTCACTTTATAGTTCTGCCTGAGCTATGTAACAGGACAGGAAGTCAGAACCCTAGAGTCGTAGTCACAAAACTCTAACCCATCTTACTTTGTTTTGGTTTTTTGAGGCAGGGCCTCACAGTGTAGTTCAGGCTGGTCTTGAACTCACTATGATGCCCAGGCTGGCCTCAAACTCAGCAATCTCCTGCCTCAGCCTCCCAAGTGCTGGGATCACAGAAGTGTACTATCACACCTGGCTATCTATCCCATCATTTCTTTCAGAGAAGACACATTTTTTGGTAAACTTGCAAAAGTTGCAGCATTCTAGGTCTATTTCACAGGAAAAGTATAAAAATATTTATATCTTAATTTCTTTTATTGAACTTTTTGTATAAAAAGCAGGCATAAAATACAATTACATTACTACAAAGATGCAATGAAATTTTAAAAAAAGAAAAATCAATGTAGGGTGATTTTTGTTTGGGGGACAGCTGATCAAATACTAATGATCTCAACCATGCAGTTTGTAACTTACACAATTCCAAATAAAAGGTTGGGGACAGGGTCAAGACCAGGCGCTGGGCACGCAGCCAGCACTGTCACACAGTCCCTCCTTCAAAGTGCTTTAGGTCTGATGGGACCAGCGCTGGGGATGCCCTCGCTGCCATCAGCAGTGGCGTCTAGGCCAGGAAACCCCGACTGCCTCGCTCTTGCTCCTGCTCGCGCCTGGTGGAGACAGGAAACTCACAGCATCTCCCAGGAGGCTTCGAGGGCCTGGGTTTCTCTCACCCTCTGAATCCCATCAGAAGGTTAAGGAGGGCAGCAGAACTCCTTCTACTATAGTTTGGCAAGCTGGAGTGTTTCTGCTTAGGGTCTAGAGATAAACCGATACCACGTAGGTCTTTCAAGGCCAGGTTCATGCAAAACCAGCACAGGTTAGTTTAGAGCACTAACCTTTAACTTAGGGTCATCAGCACAGCGATCCATTAGAGCATTTTAAACTTTCAGATAAATTTTATTTTCTTAAAAAACATCTTGCTTCTAGACAGCATGTTTTAAAAAATACTTTAAAAATTCATTATACATTAACTTTCAACAGTAATACCGGCACTAGTTTTCCTTCTCCTTCTGTCTTGCTATCCCCACGAAAGTAAAAAGCCAACCGAGAAAACCCCAGGATTCACTATTTCTGAGTTCCAACAGGAGGTATTCATGGCTTGGAGAATCAGGTGTGGGAGTATAAACATTGGTCTTATAAATATCTGTTTTGAAGTCTCGGGGCCTAAGGAAGAAAACTGGCACGAAAGTGGGCTGCTTCATATTGGGGGGCAGGGGGCAGCGCTGGCTCGGGTCGGGACTCTGTCAGCGCTCCCGCAGTGGACAGACCCCTGTGACCTTCCGTCAGACCGTGTGCGGAGCGTCCTCACCCCTCAGTGTCTTTCCCTCACCCTTCACATTAGTTTTCCTTGTACAGTTGTATCACACCGCGATTCTCCTTCATATATATCTACAGCTATATATCTATATATATAGCTGTAGATATATATAGATATCAATATATCATTCAAAATTTAAACTTTTGCCTGTTTTACTCAAATACTTCAATTATGTGTAAACTTGAAATTATTTCACCTTAATAAAGTTTATTAAAAATATATATATATATATATATACTCTCCAATTCAGAATAATAGGATATAACCTCCCATAGTGTAACAAAATCTTTATATAAAATATTAATTCAGTCTCCTTTTAAACAACTCTAATGAATGGAAACATCTCTTCTATATAAATTTTATATATTTTTCATTTTTTAATCTTACTTAAAAAAAAAAAAAAGCCAGCCCACTGTGCTGGCCCTGTGCAGGGCCATGTCCCCAAGAGGACGCACTGGCCCTGGGAGGGCCGGGCAGTGCTGCTGCCCACAGTGGCATCAGCGTGGGGTGTGAGCTCAGCCGCATGAAGCACCTCCTCTCTCCTCCACTGAAACACTGGGGCTGCGGCTCAGCAGCAGACCTGGCTCCGCATGGACACGGTGCGCTGAGGCAAGCCTGCGTGACGTTCCACCCCGACACTGGTCACTGCGGCCCCATGTGGCACGAGTCAGACCTATCTGGCTGTCCTGCAGGAACCCCCTAGCCACATTTGAAAGGTAAAAGTCAAGGCCAGTGCCCCTGGGCAGCTTCTCCCAAGTTCCCTGACCCAATACTGAAATATTGCCATACACAGTTGTGTGTTTGAGGATCACATTTAAATATTTAAAATATATCTACAGTATACCTTGTTTTTCTTTATATTTGATACAAGTTTTGAATCTTGAGTGTGAAAATGTAAAAATAGACATATATGTCTTTACCAGAAATAAAAACACAGGCAGGGCAGTGGGCAAATTCAAGCAGAGCAGACACTGCACAATCAGGGCTGGTACGGAGCCGGCACGAGGCTGGGGGGGACCAGGCAGACATGGGGGCAGTCCCCACACCTGTTGTACTGTTTCTAAGACAATCCATGAAAAACACCGTGTTACACCATCAAAACAGGCTGACACTGATTTACCATGTACACAAGTTTTCATCCACAATGCCAGTTTGCACCCTAAGAGCTGGTAAACACTTGTACTTTTTTTCTTAAATACAGAAAAGGGTTGAAACTTGGAAAAGAAATTAAATTAAGGCATCCAAAGTGGGTAAAGTGGCCTATCATGAAACATGAGACAGAAGAGGCCAAGCTCTGGTTACAGCGATGCTTAGCACGCGCATGCAGCTTCTACTGGTGCGTGAGGAGAGCAACTCTGGCGCCATGGCTTTCCACAGTCACAGCGAGAACTCAAGTGTGGGATCAGAGCAGCGGATGGAGAAGTGACCCAGGAGTCTACAGACCCTCTTGCCACGTCCCAGCTCTCCCGGAGGACAGTATCTCGCCGTCACTCACAGAGGGTACAGCGTCACTGTAGTGCGGTCCACGCCCAGACCCTTCCGCCCAGTGTGCTGCTGAGGTCACTTCTGGACGTGAGAGATGCCTTCCTGCGCTTGAGCTCCCCTCCACGCAAGTGCAATGTAGTGTGAGCGACGCGAGGGAGCGTCATAGAGCAAGTGAGGAAGAGCTGCGGGTGGCGCCCTGCTCCAGGAGCCCGTCAGCGCCCTCTCCACTTGTTCCAAAAGGAGCTCAGAAACTGCTTTGAGATCTGTAACTTATATCACAGGAAAAAGGGGTGTGGTGTATGTGTGTGTCTGTGTGTGTGTGTGTGTGTGTGTGTGTCTGTGTCCCTCGGGAAAATACAGCTTTTTACTAAGTTCCAGGCCATCACATTTCAGTCTTGTTTTACCTGGAAGAACACCGTTGCCTTGGATGACTGCTTTCATAGAAGGCAATTAGCTGGAAAGAAAGAGAAGGCAAAGTCAGCTGAACAGTGATGTCAAAGCATTAACTCCTTGGAGAAGCAGCTGGTTCATACTACTGAACTATACAGTCTTCTAACTACTGCATTTCTAACATCTAACTCATGCATAAGCATTTTAATCACAGTATTTTTCTCTTTTTAAGGTACATGCAATTAACTGTATTCTTTCTCGGTACAACAGTGGACTTTTTTGTTTTTTCTTCTGAGACAGGGTCTCAGTAAGCAGCTCAGACTGCCCTTGAACTCCCAGTGATCCTCCTGCCTTAGCCTCCTGAATGCTGGGCTGACAGGCGTGCACCACCATGCCCAGCAACAGTGGGCTTTGGAAGCCCCATCCTGGCTGATACTGCATACAAATCTCAGTGCAGGTAACAAGCTCTAGGGTTAAAAGCACACCACAGAGCAGCAACATATTCAGAGCTTGATTTGAGGTGCAGCTGCCAGCTGAGACTTTTTTCTTAAATACAGAAAAGGGTTGAAACTTTGAAAAAAAATCTAAAAACTAAATGAAGGCATCCAAAGGGGGCAAAGCTGCCTGTCACGAAGCAATGGGAAACACACTTCGGCAGCAAATATCCGTAAAGACACTCCATGAAAACCGTCTGTGAACAGATCCCACTCTTTCACGATGTAAATGTGTCCACACAACATGCTTGGGTCAGGACAGATGCTCCCACGATGCCCAGGCAACAGGGTGGGCCAGGAGTGCCACGCTCAAGCCTCCTTTAGTCACTATAAACCAAACGGTTCTGCACTGTCCACAAGCACAGGGCTTCTCACAGCACAGCACCCTCATTTTTCAGCAAGGCTAACATTCGGTTCTTGCAAACACTTCACCACATCACAAAGAAAGCAAGTCAGAAGGAGCTCTTTCACAGCACTCAACAGACTCATTGGCTTTTGGGGTTTCAATTCTTGCAAGCTAGAGGAGAGGAGGCAGAGGAAGGAGCCCATGCTATGTTCACAAACTGCAGTACACACAGGAGCATCAAGGTTTTACACTTCTCAGAGTATTTTGTTGCTTCTACATTTATCATTGTTAAGATAAAAAATTTCAATTTCAACTGTATTGCAAGTTTATAGCCAATAAAGAATCTGAACATAGCATTTCACTTTGATACCTGACATGGAAATTTCAGTTAGAAACTTTTCTGGAAACTACATTTTAAATGTATGTTATTAAAAAAAAGTTATAAAGTTTCAAATCTAATAAATAATGAAAGCTCTATGGCAAACCACATGCGCTACACAGAAGTACCAAAACAACTCATTTTTTACTTTTTCATTTACCCCATCTCTTTCTTCAGAAATCAAAAACATCGTCATCATCATCATCACCATCAACATCATCAAAGGACCAATCCAAGTCCTTAAATGCCAAGTCAAGCAATCTGTAACAGGAGGTTCGCAAATTTATACTCCACACCCTTGGAAGCTGCAGCTGAGGCCGGGACCCAGCAATCCCCCTGGAGGTGCTGCCAGCCTCCTCCTTTCCTCCACAGTGCTGCCGATACTGGGGATGCTAAGCTGGAAGTACGGTGGGAAGCTGCCCTATCCTGCAAGTGTGCATTCCGATGTCAATAAAGCATGCGTGACGTCAGCCAGGCACTGAGGCGAGAGTGAACCTGTGACCGTGGGTGTGTACACATTCCTGTGGAGACCTCGCATGCACTAGGACAGTGCCCTGAACCCTGGAAGGGGAGTTCGGGGAACAGGAGCTAAGTCCTGCCTGTCCCAGCAGGAGCCAAGCTGCCGTGGGTCACAGCAGCTGTGTTAACTGGGAAAAGCCAGGTAGGGGAGGCCAGAGAAGAGGCGGTGCTGCACCTCACTGGGCTTGGACATGGGGTATAACCCAGTCTGTCCTCTGTAAGAGCACAATTGCCTTCACCTTTTCAGATGCAAGAGGAATGTGGGCTCCGTGACCACTGTGTCCCTGGGCCCTAGGCTCATGTGTATGGTCTGCACAACGCTCTTGATGCCTGGACAAGGTAGGATGGGGCTGCAGGGAGGGCAGGTGTTTCCTCTGGCACCAGCTAAGAGCAGACACACTGACAGAGTGGCTGGCGGGTGACTGACTGCCTTAGACACAGACAGACCACCCGGCTTCTCTCCTGAGACGTGTGTGCTCAGGACAATCTCTGAAAAACACACCGACCCTGATCCAATCACTCATCCGCTAGCACCGCTCCATCGCCCAGTGTGTACTGAGGATCTGGGCCTAACATAACTTTCCATGGTGTTAGGCCAGAAGATAGAAGCTGGCCCCAGCCCTGTGGTAACTGTCAGCTTGTGCACACCAGATAGTTTCTCATATTTAGTGTTCTGTGGATCACGAAGACACCCAGGGAAACTCTAGCTAGGGAAAGCTGTGGTAGGAGCGGCACAGTTTCTATAGCCACCCGGGTTTCTAGCCTCACCTGGGCTTGTTGGGTGCAAGCTGCCGGCTGGGCCGCCGCAGGGACTGGTTCTGCGGGATCTTCATGGAGGTGCGGGGCGAGGAGCGCGCAAAGGGGTCAGGAGCAGGGGGCTTCTTGGGGATCTTCTTCACCAAGCGGCTCACCCACTTCTGCTGCTCCTCTGTGGAGTTGGCCAGGAGCAGTAGGTTCTTGGCCGTGGAGATGTCGTAGTACACTGTGAAGGACACGCGGCTGCATCAGCACCTGGGCACTGGCAGCACCGCAGCCGAGTGGGAGGCCACTCACCTTTGCATGGTGCGACGATCTCCTCCTTCCTGTCCAAGTGGTCTTTGTGACATTTGATGTGGCAGCGGCGGCACTCTAGAGCAGGAGGGGGCTTGAACATGTGCCACAGTGGCTTCATGCAGGCCTCGCAGTTGGTTGGGAAGTGGTACAGGGTGGGGATAAATTCGTGCCCTTTGTGGCAGATATAATTTGATTTCTCTCCCACTGGCTCCACCGGAAACTCCTGTTCCTTCTTGCTTTCTCCTTCATTGGCATACAGGATCTATAAAACCAAAAAGAAAAATTGATGTCTAGCCTAAATTTTATGTACTTACACTTCCAACAGTGTGCATGCAGTGAAAATGAGCCTCAGCTACCTGGGAGAAGAAATTCCTGAGGGGAGAGTCACTAGACAGCCGCTGTCGCACTGCACAGCCTCTGCTCATCAGGGGTACCACACACCTGGCAGCCAACGGGGAACCCTACTTTCAGCTGTCCCGCAGCAGCTCCCCTGGGTAGGCCTATTCAGTACAGCCATCCAAGGGACGCCCAGGTTCAACCTAGAGCACTGCTTTCCCCAAACCACACAGTAGCAATGCAAAACCAATCACTTGGAAAAACATGACAGTTTATTCACTGGTGTTTTAGACTTCCTGACAATAGGCTAGGGTATAGCTCTATGCTTGCCTAGCACACTTGAAGCTCAGGGTCCCAGCCTCAGCAGGGGAGGAAGGTGGTGCTAACATACGCTACTTAAAAACAAAAAGCTGGTCAGGCATGGTGGCACACCGGTAATCCCAGCACTCTGGGAGACTCAGGCAGCAGGATCCTGAGTTAAAGCCCAGCTTGGGTGATTCAGTAAGACCTGTCTCAAGAAAGAGGCTGGGATGGGGGCCTGGGGATATGGTTCAGTGTGAAGGCCTTGGGTTCAATCCTTGATGCTTTAAAAACAAACAACTCATCAAACTGGGTCATAGCTATATGTATCCTATACATGCAGCCTTCTCCCAAGAGATGTGTTTAGAGAAGGAGGGGGAGAGGAGGAGGAAAGGATGGTAGCCTATTCCGAATAAACAGCTGCAGCACCAGAAAATGGGTAAGCCAGGCTCAGTGGCTTTCATATAGAAACAGCTCAATAACTAATGTTGGTGTGAATAATTTTAAAGTAGAAGTAGCAAAGAGAAGAATTTGGCTTTATTTTTATTTTGTTTGGTACTAGGGATTCAATGCAGGGCCTTCACATTGGGCTACCTACTAGGCCTTTTTTTTATGTTTTATTTTGAGATAGGGTCTTCCTAAGTTGCCCAGGTTGGGGACTTGAGCTTGTGATCCTCCTGCCTCAGCCTCCCAGAGTGCTGGGATTATAGATGTGTATAACCACACTTGGCTGGCTTCATGTTTAAACAGAAAATAGGCTACCAGGTATGAAATTCAACTTCATAAGTGACATTTTCAACTTGTAGAGAGCTAAACCTAAAACTAAAAACAGAACAAAGTTCATGTTTAAAAAAAAAAAAAAAAAAAAAAAATCACAGTCAACCTGCAAAGAAGAACAAAAGGCCAGAACCATGATAGAAACACACTATAGGCTTTCACAAGTAAAGTTACACAGAGAGTAATGAAGATGTTCCCAAACAGAACAAGCATGGACGTGCTGAAAGAACAAGCCATTGCTCAATGGCCCGAGAGACAAAGGTGAGCTGAAGGTCAATGGGGAAAGGAGTGTGCTGGGGCGGACCATAGGAAACTGCAAGAGCGGAAAGGCAAAACTGCTCACCTGGAATATCCTTGGAATTTCTTTAGCATCTGCTCTATAGACATCCGTCTGAGTAACTGGTCGGACATGAAACAACTTGCTATAAAAAAATTCATAAAGGAAGGAAGTATTACCAAAGGATCATATTACATTAGTTAATCTATGCTTGTGTCAAAGTTAAACCTGACCACTTTGACCAGTGTCAGAAACTCACAGAATATCTTCCTGTATTAATTTAATTGTGAAGATTTTCCAGACATTTTCAATAAGTTTTCCAATTAACTTCACAAAATATATTTAAGATCCTTGAAATAAAGATGACTGAGATAATTTTATATCCAACTTTCATCTGTCTGAAGGAAATTTTAAGAATATAAGAAAATGTAATGCTAGCTCTTCTATAACTACTAATAAATTGCATCAACTTGACAGTAAAGGACACTTTACTCTTAGAGTGCAAAGATAATAAAGATGATAAGACGGTAAAGACATGTTCACATGATAACATCTCTGAATGTTCCTATAAAAACACTTACTCTATATCTAAAACCATGTAAGGGTTAGAATGCTCTTTATCTTGTTCACTGTCGTAGAAAAGAATCTTCTTACTGCTTACAATCACATACTGTTAAAAAGAGGGAAGGAAGGAGTCAATGAGTGAAACAGATACCATCTTCACTGCTTTCTTTAAAAATAAGTGGTATATTAGTAATAAAAATCAGAAAACACCTCAGATGTACTGAAACATCTTCAGGAAAGTCTTCCTTAAAGTAAAAAAACTGTCTGTAGATATTTTATTTATTCATTTTTTTGCCTATAGATTATTTTAAATAAATGGGAGAGGGTAAAGTCAAGTATTTTTGGACTGATTTTGGCATCCAACAGCATTAGGAAACTTACCCAAAATGAGTGGAGTAACATCAATAATCACAGTAACAGAAGAACAAACAATAAATGGGCCTCTCTCTCCTATCCAGAGCTGTTTTCCCAGAGATAGCAAAAGCACTGAAGTGAATAAGCTTCTCTTTTCCTAACCCCAAAATTCAGTTTATTACTAACACACAGGGCTGGGGATTTAGCTCAGAGGCACAGCACCTGCCTGGCAAGTGCAAGGTCGTGAGTTCAATTCCTGGTACCGGAAAAAACAAAAACAAAAACAAAACAAAACAAAAATCCCTATTCTATTACTAACACACAGAGGGTAATTTTTTTTTTTTTTTAAACAGAGCTAAAATCACAACATTCCTAATCAGGAAGTATAAACAAGTCTGATGTGTCTGAAAAGTTTAGGTCATGTTCATTTTACAACTACAAAACTAAAATAGCCAGAGCTAAACCAGAAGCATGCAAAACAGAACCATATTCAAAACTTATCAGTTACCTTCTTAACCCATCCGAATTTCTTGGTGTTGTTTCGCACAGGTAACGAAAGCCATCCTTCTAATCTTGACTCTATAAATAAGCACAAGACATGAGGGTAAATCTAATGATGCCCTTTAGACAAGGAGGAACTCAATTTTAATATGGACATCATGAAGTCTCTTCAATGTGCCCTTCAGGTTTTTTCTCTGCACTTTATCTAGGATATAGTACCAATGCAAGGTCAGTAGAAGCAAGTTATGCACTGCAAAACAAAATCCAGGTCATACCACACTGGAAAAAGGCTGCACAGTTGTACAAAGTCAAACACTCCATTAAATTCATGCACTGGCACAATTCAGGAGAAAACTTGCAGAATACCATGAAGTCCAGTAACTCTCTATTCTCACTGGTATATCAGCATCATAAGCCTTTATTTCTCCTTTGGAAGAAGCCTAACTATAACTGGAATGCAAACCTTTGAGGAGAAAAGATGACTTCAGCGAGCCCACGTTTTCAGACTTTCAGAATGGCTCTAATAAGATGAAGTAAAACTACAACTTACAGATCAAACCTGGTCATGACAGCATGAGCAGCAATATAAGCAGAAGATTTCAGAACTCCACAACAGCAATACCAATACACTTCTAGTTGTACAAAGCAGTCTCTAAACCCTGGGATTTTAGTCTAGAACCTCGGATCAGTGTTTTTTCATGAGACAAGTAAGCAGAAGAAGGGGTTGGGGAGGTTATTCTAGTAGTAAAGGAGCCGCCATTCAGCACATGCCAGCTGTGTTAGGCTCTTTACCTAACTTCTCCATAATCCTCACCACGGTACTACAGAACAGCAATGGCACCCTAACTCACACACGGAAACTCAGGTCTCACAGGGATGCTGGGTCTAAATTAAGACAGCCTGGTCTCTTCACTTGAATAGAAGAACTTTCAGGGGAAAGCCCGGACCAAACTGCCATGTCCTCTTTTAAGGCCTAGGCCAATGCTGACTACGTTAAGTCCTTGATGAAAACCTAAACATATTCTCTTAAACAGTCTGCATGTTTTTCTGTACTATCATTCTTGATAGGAAACGTGACAAAATGTACCACTCCGTTTCTAAGTTGGCAAAGTAAATGAGGTATTATAACGTAGTATCACATCAAAATACCTCATAAACACAGGCTCTGTTCATGCAGCAGCTTGTTTTTGCCTGAGTCTACAGCAACCTATCGGAGTTAGTGAAGGTGAGCTGATGTTACAGGAAGTTTTCCAGAGGCCTATGATTAGGGGTAGCAGGCAAAGGCCCACAGCTGAGAAGGTTTTCACGCCGTCACCTGTACCACTGGGCTCCGAGGCAATGGGCCAGTAAGGCAAAACCTCTTCCGAGTCTGAGTCCAAGTCTGTGTCAAGGAGCGCGTGGGACCCGGAAGGCCCAGAGGCCATGCTGAGAGAAGTGGAGGAGCGCCGGAAGGAGAAGGACATGGACTCCACAGTGTGGGACTGGGTGATGCGAACTGCACACCCACCACACGAGGAAGCAGGGTGCAGGGAAGAGAAAAAAGGAAAGGGAAGCTTAAAAGGAGAGCGCTTTGAGAATGGGTTGAGCCACAGGTCTGAAGAGGTGGCAGCTTCTTTTGCATATCTATCTCTTTATGAACAATACTGACAAAAAAATCAACAAATGAGTCTATGATGTAGGATAAAGAAAATGGTAAACATTTTTCCTCAGAAGCAGAGCCAGGCATAGGACCTAGTGCCATCACCTGGCCCACGACAAGGACACTAGGGTGCAAGCAAAGCCATACCTGGAAACCCATCCTCGGCCTCCGCGTCCCCTGGGCCGCTGCCGATACTGGAACTGTCCAGGCCAATGTGGAGGGCCTGCAGCTGTGACCGCAGCTGCTCAATGTCACTGTCCTTGCTGTCCAGTGTCATCTGCAGTTCAATTCGAATCTGGCTCTCCTCAGCTATTTGCTATAAAAAATTAAATGAATTCAGTTCACTGGATGTACCAGACCTCACGATTTTGCATCTTGGCTCAGTAACAGTTGTTGGCAGAGATGTTCAATAACCAGCCTGGCACACACAGACATGGACATGATTCTATTTCTCAAGAGGAAGCCCTCAATGCAGAGTCCAATAAGCATGCTTACGGCCTGCATTTCGTTCAGTTCCTTCTGGTACTTGATCATCTGCTGGGTCAGTTTTTCACGCTCAGACTTAAGCTCCATGTGCAGCTTTCTATTCTCCTTTTCTTTTCTTCGCACATCTGTGTCACTGCCACGCTTGATAGGTTCTTTTCGATTCATGATCTCAGCCAACTTATTCACAGCCTTAAAAATGTAAAACCAGCAAAATACATGTTGATGCTTTCTAATTAACTCACCAGTCCCAAATTATACAACCACTAATAATCTCCTTCCCTATACACCAAGCTACAGAGAAACGCTTTCTTTTTTTTGCTTCTTTGTTTTGTTTTTTTTTTTAAGACATGGCCTCTCTATGCATTTCAGGCTGGCCTTGAGCTTACTTTGTAGCCCAGGCTGGCCTCGAACTCACAACGAACCTCCTGCCTCTGCCTCAGCCTCCCAAGTGCTGCAATTACAGACGTGCACCACCACACCTGACAAAACACTTTCTAAGTAATTAAATAATACGTTTTCTTTATTATTCACTTCCCTCATTCTATGCAAGACTAGTTTTTGCTCTTTTGGCTTTTGAGAGCTGTAATTTAAACAATGACAGCGGCTGAGGGCACAGGTCAGTGGGGTAGGCCTTGCCTTGATGTGTACAGCCCTGGGTTCAATCCCCAGCACTAATTAAAATGTTTCTACCACTTCAACTTTTGTTCCAAAGGAGCCCTGACTATGCAGCTGTCCCTTTGTTTCCTCTGGAGGAAGAATTCTGCCCTAGCACCACACTACCAACACACCGTGCCCATTGGCAGGAAGGGCACCGAGTACCCACACAGCTCATGCTGCCTGCAGCACCCGTTGCAGCTGGTGTGGTGGTCACCAATCTCAGAGGCCTTTGTACACCCCCTGTTGAGACTGCAAGCAAACGGTCACTCCCCATTATCTTCTAATTGGGGAAAAACTTACTGGATTACTGTAAGCCATAGAGAATGTGAGTTCATATGGAAAACTGAGAAAAACTTTAACCAACACTGAACTGGCTACCAGTGCTAGTCAAATCTAGCTTCTCTCAGTCTGGACAAAAGCAGGTTCAGAAATACTGATGCACTCGGCAGCTACAGCTTCCTCTCTGTCATGTCAGCAATAAAACAGAAAACAGACAAATAGAACATGAGAGGACACTGAGAGTCTGGTGACATACTTGAGTCTTAAGCGTTCTCTCTGTCAGCAGCTGCTTTTCGAACTGGGCTTTAATAGCTGTGGCACTTATCTCCTCCTCTTTCAACCTTGATAGTTCTGAAACAAGAAACATAGACGTTAGGAGGACAGCTCCAGCAAGCGCCAGATAGTGGGTGTGTGTTACAAATGACACTGAATACATACGCTCCTGAGCATCTTTCAGTTTGTTATTTAATTCTTCTTTCTCATTGGCGAGATTGGCAACATCACTGGTTAGTGTCCTGTTCGTTTCTTCAAGCTAATGAAAGACAACGGAAAAAAGTCACATTCCAATTACCATATGGAAGTCATGACATCCAGGTTCCAAAATGTGGCTGAGCCACGTCTGTTTTGGAGTTTACTGTCCCCGGCTACTTCCTGAACTTCCCCCTGATGAAAACCTTGCTATCTGTAATGGACTGCACAGGGACTATGCGTGGACCAGCGAAGCCCTTCTTCCCCACACCCTTGGCAGCTCTGATAAATGAGAAAGGCATTTCATAAACTATGAAAAGGAAATGCAGAGCTCTGAATGCCTACAGTGTGGGATAAACAAATCTAAGAAGGGCAGTTTCCTGCAGAGCAATACTTTACAATGGGGGACACAAACTGTAAAGAGCTGCACCTATCTGCACTCCTGCACCATGTCTGCCCCACTTGCCCTTCACAAAGGGTGCGCTGTATGCATGTGCCCCTGCCCTCCAGAACCTGTGTCACACCTGCACACAATCATCACTTCATAGCTGGATGGGACATTTCTGGAACTGTCTCCACGCATCACATGAAACAATGAAACTGATGACAAGGATAGAATTTGTTTAATGGACACAGTAGGAGACAGTAGCCCTATCTCCTACACATGATGTACCCATTCATCTATTAATGTGACATTTGCGCTTCTGCCATTTATAAATGTTTATGCTGCTGTAAACACTGTGCTTGAGTTTCTTTGTCACCTTTGCCTTAACATGGACTTCCTTGGAACGGCAACACGCATTTAAAGTTTATAGGAAGCTTCCAGATAGGTTCTAGATTATACCATGCCATATTTACCAGATTTTTTCAAACAGTTGAAATGGTCAGATACTGAGTTTCACCATGCAGCAGGCACAAAATGGTATTTCCAAGCTCTTTTAGCCAGCCTATTCCGAAGCGCAGGGAGGCAAGACACTTGCTTATGCATTTAGGTTTTCTCTTTTGGCCAGTCTCTCTTCTTGCAGATAGTGTAGGTACTAACCCCTTGTTTAATGAATATATTACAAATACGTTCTGCCTGTCCTTTATGTGGCCCTCTGCAGTTTTGGATTGTGTTCTATAGCAGAAACTTTATTTTTCACACTGAGGGTGTTAAGATAGCTACAGTCTCCCTCAGTGTGTGGTGTGGTAAAGAGCTAACTGTCCCTTGCCACATGAAAATAGAGGTGCTGCGAGCCCCTTGTCACCTCAGTGCTCTCCCCATCCACTGCGTGTGTGATGCACTTCCTGGAGCATTCCCGTGGGTTTGAGTGACTGCAGGATAAAACCAAACTACCTCACGTAGTACTCTGCTTTGGAATTTCCCTTTAGTTGGGCTGTCACTGCCCGACACTGAGGCGACTGTGATTACTAGATTACAAGCCCAAAGCCAGCGCTTTCGGATTTCCTCTTAGAGCTGATGTGGCCCAGTGTGTTCACAGAAGCCTGGGAGAGCGACTTCACCACGAGCTAAAGAAGCAGCATGTCTCACTCACCGACGCAATGGTGGCGTCCTTTTCTGTGAGCTCCTGTTTGTGCCTGGCCATCATCTCCTTGATCTCCAGCTCCTTCATGATTTTCTCCTTCTCCAGATCAGAATACTGCTCTTCAGCAATGGAGCGAGCCAGCTGCTCAGAGTCTGCCTTGGTCAAAGTGATCTCCAGCTGGGCAGCCAACGAGTCCCTGCATGGCAGAGATGCTAGGTCATGTGCACACATGAGGTCACGGTGTGACGCCTAAACTAGGGTCCACACGTCCCGGGACGCACACACTCTGTTCCCACTGTGGAGTTGGAGCTCCTGTCTGACTGACTTCATCCCCGGGCGGGGGCGAACACCCAACCACAAGAGGCCTTCAAGCTCACCTTTCATCCTGGAACTCCTGCTTTTTCTGCTGTAATTCTTTACAAAGCTTGGTCTTTTCTTCGCATTCTTCTTTAAGTTCCCTAACTTGGGTTTTGTAGAGGGTCTAAACAGCAAAAAATACAACAAATATTTACACTGTCATCAAGAATATTATTTTCACATTCAAAATATATCCAGAGAAAAAGCTAAACACACACAAGTACTGCCTGGACACTGAGTGACACTGGGCTCTTGAAAAGGTCACAGTTTAACCTGTCATCAGGTGTGAAGATAATGAAGCCGTGCTAGGAGACAGGCAGGCCTGGGCCTTCAGAAAAGCTGAGCTAGTCCGCAAAGCCGCGGGATGATTCTTACTGAATCAGTAAGATGGGCAGGATGGACGAGGAAGCAAACACTACCAATTTACAACAGAGTATTCTATTGACTTAAATCAACAGAACAGGGGCAACAATTTCTACTTAAAATTTAAAAAACTGATCTCAAAAAGTACAAATGTTAAAATTTTATTTCTTTCATTATGAAAATATTCTTCCTCAAAAAGCAACACTCCTAATAAATTTCATAGATATGGTATATTATGTGCTTGGAATTTTTTGTTTTTTGAGATAGGGTCTTACTTCATAGCCCAGGCTGGCCTTGAACTTGTGGTGACCGTTCAGCCTCAGCTTCCCAAGTGCTGGGATGACAGGTGTGCACCACCATACACAGATAGGATTATTTTCCCAGTGAGGATAATGATTTCTGTTAAACTATTATTTTTTTTGCCCGGTGCTTTTATATGAGTTGTGTGATACAAAATATTCCACGGTAAATGCTGCCTGGTATGTAAGAATCTATCTTAAAGAAGCAAATTTTCCTGGTTCTGAAGCAAGAGTTTTTTTTTGTTTTGTTTTTTGCTTTTTCTCCGGTACCGGGAACCAAACTCACGACCTTGCGCTTGCCAGGCAGGTGCTTTTGCCGCTGAGCTAAATCCCCAGCCCCTGAAGCAAGAGTTTTAATAGTTCGGCAAACACGGTGATATCCAAATGAATGTGTAAGGGACTCACGGAGAAATACTGCTCTGCTTCAAGCTGATCCTGCAGTTCCTTCATCTGCCCATCTGCATCCTGCCGCTCTCTGTGGAGACAGTGGAGCACAGGCCGAGTGAGTTCTTGCCCTTGATGCCAGGCTGCTGAGGGTGTTTGGGGAAGCCCGGAGCTGTCTCACACTCTGCTGCAGGAGAGGAAGCTAGCCAAATGCTCTTACCGAGCTCACTCCCCACCAGGGTACAAGGCTTTCCCCGAGGCCACGCGACAGATGATGACAGGGAAGACAAGCTCAGACAGGGCAACCGTTTGCCAGGTTTGGCAGATGAGCCCACAGTGGGACGACTACTCATGCTGCACACTTGCCTGGCCCCATAGCTCAGTCTTGCCCTCCATCATACCACCTCCAGCAGACAGCTGGGGCTCACAGGACTCTCCATCTAGGGTTATTTATGAAAGAAAGGGCAGGACAAACTTCTGAGAGGATATTTACTGCATATTTTGAAAGGTTCTTGTTTTTTTTTTTGTTTGTTTTTAAGTTTTTTGAGACAGGGCCTCACTATGTAGTTCAGGCTGGTCTAGAACTCAGTATGTAGCCCAAGTTGGCTTTGAACTCGGCAATCCTCCTGCCTCAGCCTCCTGAGTGCTGGGATTACAGGTGTGCACCACACCACCACACTTAGGGTATTCTGAAAGTGTTTTAACAATGTTTTCCATGTTCTAAGTAAATTAAGTAGAATAGCAAAGAATATCCTATAAAGTGATTAACAATCTGTATGGTGTTTTCTTAATAGCCACACACTAGCGAGTCCTAGGAGCTGAAGCACACTCCAACTGGGGCAGAGCACTCCGGGCTGTTGGGAGCAAAGTGCTCGGCGGGCCGGGAACCCTGAGGACCCTGTACCCACACTGTACGTCCTTCCCATCACGGCACAGATCCACAGCAATGCAAAAAGCAATGGAGGGAAAGCAGCACCCTTGACTCAAAGGACAACCTGGCCCTAGAGCACTGCAGGACAGAGTGAGCTGTCCCAGAGAGCTCTGGGGAGACCCCAAGGCCAGTCAGCGGAGACGCACTTTCGCAGCTCGGTGTTCTGCTTCTCCAGGCTCAGCTTCATTTCCACCAGGTGGTTGTTCTCCTGCTTGAGCTGCTTCTCCGACATCCTCAGCGTGTTCACCTGCTGTGTCTGCATCTTCAGGTCATTCTGCGTGAGGCATCGCTTCTGAGTTTCCTGCTCGATCTTCAGCGTCAAGTTTCTCACCTACGAACATCAACCACAGGTTTGACAGTAAGTTATTTCTGATCAATGAAACTGGCAACAAGTATGAAAGACTTCTGTCCTTAGCAACTGATTCATTCCATAGCAAAATGTGTATTTCCAAGAATGTTTTAAATACATTTTAACATAAAATTCTTTGAAAATTTTATGAGAATTTTTGAAAAATTCTTTGAAAATGATTTTGAAATGATTAGACTACGATTCACTTCGTATGCCATCAAAATCCAGCGAAAGCAACAGGTTGAGAGGGAAGTGCTGAGTGTCCTCACAGTGGACTCCCGCAGACTCCCCGCAACCCTGCGGACTCCCACAGCCAGTACTCACATCCTCGCTGAGCACCTCCTTCTGTGTGAGGAGCTCACTCAGCTTCTGCTGTGACTGCTTCAGGTCGCAGTCCAGCATGGAGCACCTCTTCTCCGACTCCAGCAGTAGGTTCTCCACTTTCTGCTTCAAAGCCCTTTCTTCCCACAGCTTCTTCTCCATCTCTGTCACAGGGACAGGGGCATAACCACAACTGCACAAGTGAGAGCAGCTCATCAAGCACACAACAGTGTCCACAAAGGGGCGTGGAGAGACTGCCTCACTGCTTCACTCACTTCTGATTGACTATTTTTATTACTTCTCTCAATATATGTGAAATATCAAGAATTTTACACTCAATCCCAGTACTCTGGGAGGCTGAGGCAGGAGGATCACAAGTCTGAGCCCATCCTTGTCAATTTAGGGAATTTGAGACAGTGGCCTCAAAATTTAAAAGAAAAAAAAAAAAAGCTAGAGATGTAGCACAGTGTGAAGGCCCTGGGTTCAATCTCCAGTACTAGAAAGAAATTGAAAGTGTTATTTCCAAGGCATAGAATGGATCATGCTCTTTAACATTACACTTACTCCAGTGAAGGCAAGAAAACTTGCCTTTGTTTTTTTTTTCCAGTACTGGGAATCGAACTCACGACCTTGTGCTGTGCCGCTGAGCTAAATCCCCAGCCCCAATTTGCCTTTTTATGGTTCTGTAAAATGCTTACATCTTTGAAGACTGATTTTCCTGATACTCTTAAGTACTACCTGTTATGGCTTGTATCTAAACGTCCCGCCAAAGCCTCACACGGTCATGTGGCTTTTTCAGAGGTGGCTGGATCTAGAGTGTGTGATGCTCTACAAAGGGGCGTAGAGAGACTGCCTCACTGCTTCACTCACTTTATGCATTTATGGTGCAGTGCTAGGCTCAAGGCTGCTAGGACTAAGGGTGTGGGTGCTGCCCACCCTGAGTGGCCTGGATAAGATAGAAGGACAGAAAGACCTGTGGTCAGCCCTGGTTGCTCTGCTACCTTCTGCCCACTATGAACTGCTTCTCCTCTGCCACACCACCCTGCCTTGGAGCCAGCCAACTATGGACTGAAACCTATACACACTATGAGCTAAATAAACCTTTCTTCCGTTAACTTTGGACATTGGGTATTTTGTCTCAGCAATGAAAAAAGTAGTAAGACAATATACTATCCAAGAGAACATGCCCCTTAGTCTGGGAGATCTAGGCCTTCACATTCTGTACAACTGTCATTCTTTTTTTGTTTCTTTTTTTGTTTTTTGAGATAGGGCCTTGCTATGTAGTTCAGGCTGGCCTTGAACTCACTACATAGTCCAGGCTGGCTCCAAACTCGTGGTGATTCTCCTGCCTCAGCTTCCTGAGTGCCGAGATTATAGGCGTGCATCACCATGCTTGGCTGTCATCACTGACACCACCGAAATATTAATTTCTCTGACTTAGAAATATAGTTGAATAATTTTGTTTGGGTCTTAATATCTTAGAAATGGTTCTACTGATGCAAAGAGAAAAAATATATATATAAAGCTTCCCTGGTAGATTTTCTCCCTTCCCACTATTTGACAATAAAACAAACATATTTTAGAACCAAAGAATTGAATAGAGAGTCAATTCTCGGGCAAATGCTGCTGTAAGTTCTTTTTAAGTGCATACCTTTCATGGCTTCTGATTTAGCTTCCTCAATGGATTCATAGATCTTATTTTTGTCTGCGAGCCGTGCTTTTGTGGCCTTGTGCTCAGCCTCCTCCTGCTCGAAGCTCTGCTGGATGACTTTGAGCTGGTATGTCATGTCTATTTCCATGTTGCTCTTTTCCTGTTAAGATGCCAAAAGACAGCTATCAACAAAAAAGGCCGGCTAGCCATTTCAAAAGCTCTCAAGACCATTTTTAACATTAGGCTCAGTCAGTGGGAATGCTCAGCACCTCTCCCCCTGCTGATCCATGCTTCTTATAGCAGCACCTGTGTTCATGGCCTCTGCACCCACTACGACTGCAAGCTCCTCTTCAGAGACCTGTGGTGAGGCCGCTGCACCTCAGAAAGTGATCTGTGGAGCCTTGCTGTCACATCCTGGGCTTGCACCGGGCTTTCCCTCCCCTGGTCACCTGCACTCTCAACACTGGCACTCCCCATCCTGCTCCCACCCTTCCTGCCACTCCTGGTTTCTCCAGCTGCCTCAGGTGCTGGCATCTTCTCTGGCCACAGTGCTTCTCCTCTTCCTGTGATAATTTCTCAGATTTAATGTTTCCCTTTGCTACATTAAAACAAAACAAAAACCCTCAAAATCTCTAAAAATCAGTCTGTTCTTCTGCTTATACCACCAGGATTTTTTTTTTTCCAGACACAGTCTTGTTATATATTCCAGGCTGGCCTTGAGCTCACTATGTAGCCTAAATTTGCCCTTAACTTTTGGCAACCCTCCTGCCTCAGCTTCCTGAGAACTAGGATTAGAGGCATACACCACCACACCCATCTACACTAGGATATTCCTATTCTTTAATTTCTACAGTTTACATCACAAATATGATCCAGATATTTTTATTTTATCAAATAAAATCTTTAATACTGAAAATGCCTTTTCAAACTACACAATCCACCACCAGAAGCATCCATTCTGTTGTGACAACTGCTATTCTATGCAGTCTCTTCCCAGGGGCTCCCCACACCTGTGGTTCAGCCTCCTACCTCCTGATGAAATACCCTGAGCTGCTTCCTGTCTTGTGGACATTCTAATGCAGCTATCCCAAAGGCACACCAACATTAAGAGGGCTAAGATGGATTTACTGCTGCTGCCTCTAAAGCAGCTGATCTTCCTTTATTCTTTACTCAGTGGCACCACTACAAACCTTGGCATGACCTACAAACTGAGCCCTTACCTTGCTACTACTCTCATTCCATGTCTAATCCACAACAAAGTCCAAAGAGAAAGTCCACTGGTGTAGGAAAATATCTCAGTTGGCCATTTCTCTTATTTTAGAATAACTTTCTTGTCTGAAATGCTGTGATATTCTTACACAGAAAAATGTAAAATTTAACATATTTTACCTTTTCCAAATCAGTAAGCTTCTCCTGAAGTTGTCTCTTCTCCAGTTCTACTTTTGTTAGCAAGAGTTTGCCATTCTTTAAATCTTCTTCTAGGCCAGATAGCCTACCTAAAGATTGCAACACTTTTTAATACTCACAAAATGATATACATTCAATTAATAATAAAAAAAATCTGGAAGCCCTCTCCTGTTTTGGAGCTCTTATCCACCAGCAAGCATTTCTTCCTTGTTGGTATAGTGCTTCACATTTAATTCAGCCAGAAGCCAATCTACCACCCATGGGACCTGATATTTAAAATCATACTATTTGAAAGTGTACTCTTCATAGAACTTTTTGCCAATGCATTTCTAATGTTCTAACATTACATAATGTGGTGCTACATTCAGAAATATGCTACTGCAGCACAGTATCCATCATCTAAAGTTATTACCAAACTACAAATTATCAAAGTGATTTCAATGCAATCTATACTTTATACCTTGTAAGTCACTAATGATCTCTGATCCGTGGGTCCGGTCCCTCCTTTCTGACTCTAGAGCAGACTGAAGATTGATAAACTCCTTTTCCAGTTTTAACCTGGCAGTCTCTAGCAGGCAGTTTTTATCTTGCAGGTCTCTGTTGTTGGATTCCAGCTGCTGAATCTGTTTGGAACTTTCTGCTTGAGTCTTTCTCAACCGGGCTGCAGTATCAGATTCTGTTCGCAGCAAAGCACTCGTTTCCTCTAGCTGTCGTACAAACAAAAGCATATAAACACTGTGCATACACTGTGTACATAGTGGAAACATGCTGGCTTATCATCCCGTCACAAACTATTTAAAATAAACAACAACCTAAAAATGTTTCCCAAGAACTTCCCTCTCAAACTAGAGCCAAGGCCTCTGAGCACTGCCCATGAAGTTTTAGTTAAAACAGCCACGAATCGTACACCACACCTAGTCTCCAACTGAGAGGAACCTACCTGTCTCTGCAGCTGGTTCATTTTCTCAGTAGATATTTGAGAGTTCTGATTTCTTTTTTTCAAATCTTCAAGTTGATCTTTTAAGCTGTTAACTATAACAAAAAGCATTTCAGTGCAAGCTCTAACATAATACATCATCATATTTTCCTTGATAAGTGTTTCACAGTCTACACCACAAACCATCATTTTCCAAGTTCCGTTTCTTATCTGCTTCGTAGTCAGCTCTCCTCTGATGCTCTGCATTTTTGTGCTGAAGCAGTGCCTTCTCTCTTTCCATTTGTCTTAATGCTGACTCCACACTTTTCCTCAAGGTAATCTGAAATAAGGCTTAGCATTATTATCAAAAGAATGCACACAAATCAAATCAAAGCAATACTTCATTACTTCAAATATATAAGAGATCTAAAAAAAAGGCTAGCTCTGCTTTGTTAAAAATATGTTTATAAAAAGCACACCACATTACTCTTAATCAAAACCCTATGTGCTTTGTTAAGTACTGAAGTCAAACTTTCTATCACTATGGAACCATTAACACCTACTCCCATGGGTCTAAATATTATGAATAGCAATTAAAGAAAGTCATTTTCTGCATTTAATCATGCTACTAATCACAATACAAATGAACTTTTGTACTTGAAATATCTACACATACTAAATTAACCCAAACTTGCAAAAACACAACAGAATGAAGTCTAGGTAACAGAGTTACCTTGTAATTTCAGCCTTGTCCACCAAGATATGTATTACTATAGTATTAAGAGACCTCTGTAAGTTAAACATCAAAGATCTGACTAACAACAATACTAATGAGGGAGATGGAAATGGCTTGGTGACAGAATGCTTGCCTAGCACATAGGAAGCCCTGGGTTGAACACCCAGCACTGAGGGAAAATAAGTTCATAAGAGTGTAGACCAGCTTTACCTCTTCTTCGAGCTCCTTTGCTGTTTTCTCTAGGCGAGTATTAATAGATCTAAAGAATTAAAGAATGGGATAAATAGAATAAGTATCCTAAATTACAACAAAACCGAAGTATATGATTTTAAAAGCTGACATTATTTTGTACCTCTTTTTAAATAACATGTTTAAACATAAATTTGAAAACATAGTACCTGTCTATAATACATACTTGCACTTTTGCTCTAGCTCCTCTTTGGCTTGTAGCTCATTGTTAAGATGTTCTTCTAAGGTATATAGTTTTTTCTGAATCTGCCAAGAAACAAGAAATTACCAGTTCTGGTCCTATTTAAAGATGAGATTGCTTAAAGAAAATAATGCTAAGCTTCTATTTTTCTCTGCAATGAATCTCCTCTGGCGGGGCGGCGTGTGTACCTACTCAATGTGACTTCCACAGACAGAGGAGCGCCTACCCTCCCACTCTCTCTAATGTGCTGCCGCCCAATATACACCTGACAAACTTCTATGAGTGGGGATGAAAAGTTCCCATTTTGGCAAAATTCCTGTACAACGCCAAGTTTCAAACCCTGTTAAACAATAAAGGAGACCTCTTCCACTGCTTTTCTATAGATTGTATTTAAACATACCACCACTACTGGTGTTCATGAGATAAAAGGTTTACAGCTCACGGAGATATTCAGAATATTCAACAGAATGTACTAAAAACGTATCGCTGTTTAAAAAGATGAGAACATATGCTCTTCTTTTGTACTGTCATACATATTACTGGGCACAGCACTCTGAAAAGAGCTTAATTAACGACTCTGGTTTTGGTTTTTTGAGACAGGGTCTCGCTTGGTAGTTCAGGCTGAACCTGAAATCTCTATGCAGCCTAGGCTGGTTTCAAATTCATGGTGATCCTCCTGCCTCAGTGTCTCAAGTGCTAGGATTACAGGCGTGTGCCAGCACACCTGGCCAATGACTCTTGAATAAGTGATAACCAATTAATCACAAGTCCTCTCCTCTGTACTTTTCCCAGCTATGCTAGTTTAAATATATGTAAACTATATTGTTTCCTCTTTAAAGGGTTTAATTTTTTAAGTCCCTGTGGTGCTGTAGGTATAATATCAGGCACTTTACAAGTGCTGTCTCATTAATCCTAACCAAAGTTCTAAGGATACAGTAAAAAGGAAGTGAAATTCAAACAAGGCAAATACCCAGACCAGGACAGGACAGGATAAGTAATAAGTGGCGGTGCCAAAATCAACACAGGTCTTTAACCCCATGTCTGTGTTCTTTCTACTACTCTTCCTAGTGATTATGCTTTCTGTGGTTTCTTAAATATTTCCTATCTCCTAGGAAAACTGCTACTGCATAATGCACTAAGAACATCCAGGCTAATGAATTAGCCAAGTTCAACTGCTTCTGGCTGCTGCTGCACTCATCCAAGCACACAAGTTCCTCCATGCGAATCCGGGTCCTTGCCAAGTGGAATCCCATCACAGGATGCGCATCGTAAAGGGCGGATGCATGGCAGCAGTGACAAAGGGGGACGTGGTAGAAAACAGCTGGCGTGTCTGTCTCCGGGAGAGGTGGCACTCCAAATGAGAGGGCAACTGTGGCTACATTAGAACATTGCTACCTTGACGATTTTTCATCAGTTTTTCAACCTATTTGATGACATACCTCTTGACTTTCCTATTAAAAAAAGGGAAAACATTGAAATGTTTGTTAGGCATTTTAAAAATGTTTTATTTTAATGTAATACAAGCAGATATCAATAAAGAAGATATAAAAACACTGTTCTTTTAAGAAAAAAAAAAATTTCATAACAAAATAATTGGAGAATAACAATGGTTATACATTGTGTATCATGATTTTTTAAGAATGGGAAAATTTGGCAGGGGAAGGAAGAGCTCCTGAGAGACAGGAGTGGTTTTGAATGGGTTGCCTTATCATGATCTTAAAAAGAACTGCCAAAATGTTACTCAGAGTACAAGTCAGACAGAAAAGACTCTCTCTTACAAAGAAGAAACAAAGGACAAAACTTTCTTTTCATTGAACAAAAGAAACCAGTTGTACATGCAAAGAGTAAAATAGAAGACAAGTAGAAAATAGGGAGAAGTTCAAATAAATCCCCAAATTATCTATTGTTTCAAAAATATTTTAAGGTAAGTGCTAATTGTTAGGCTGGAACATTCCTAAAACATAAGCCATACCAAAATTATCCAACCTACTTCTTTTACTTTTCATAAGAAAAAAAAAAATGTTTAAAATTGTCATGTGTGTATGTGTATGTGTGTGTGTGTGTGTGTGAGAGAGAGAGAGAGACAGAGAGAGAGAGAGAGACAGAGAGAGAGAGAGACTGAGTTTTATATGTGGTTACAAATTGTCCTGGTCCCAAATACTTTAACAGTGTAAAATATCTGACAGTATGAAAAAATTATCTTGTATGTGGATATATTCTAAAAAGGAACTCAGAATTTTAATCTTTCCCCTACTTCTGTACCTTAGCTTAATATCTGCAATTTTTTTTAATGGTGCCAAAGTTTCATTTATTAAAAGTACGAAAAAACAGAAGGGTAGCAGAAAAACTGCCAGGTGTGGTGGCGTGTGCTTATAATCCCAGCACTCGGGAGGCTGAGGCAGGACAGTTGGCAGTTCAAGACTAGCCTGGGCTACAAAGCGAGTTTAAGGCCAGCTTGAACTGTATAGCGAGACCCTGTCTCAAAACAAACAAACAAAAACCAGAAAAAACGGGTTCTGCAGAGTAAGTTTGGGCCAAGGGAAAAAAATGTAAAAATACAGCCTCCAGTATAGGGTGGGCCACCAGGAAGAGGCCCGAGCTAGGCAGCTGCACCTCCTACGGTAGCACGGTCCTGACACGGTGTCCACTGCAGCACTGGGCCGTGTGCAGACTCACTCTGCCATCTGTGCTGCCTGCTCACCTAGGCCTGGCGCCTGCTGCATGGCTCAATACTCCACAGACAGCAGTGACCAGGTCATGCTGAGTGCACCACACCAGGGACACCACTGTGTGAGGTAAAAAGCAGCGTCCAATGGAAGCTTTAAAAACAGGATCACTAAGTACTTGAACACATGACTAAAATAACGGGAGAAGCAAAGTGGATACATACTTCGTTCTTCCTTGACTGTACTGGATCACTTTCTCTGCAAGGTGGGGAGTTGCTTAACAACCTAGAGGGAAGGAGGGGAAAGTAACATCCTTTGCATGGCATTGTAATCCACTTGTTTTACTCAGCCAAGCTATTCTCAGAATGAAACATCGACTACAAAGGTTTTCTTTTCACTTCAACATCTTAAGCTTAAGTCACATTTTTGCCTCCAGACATTCACACCATTGTCAGTATTTAAAATGCTAAACTTCCCTTGCCTCTCCTTGTCACATAAGCTAGTTTTAACTGCTGAGACTGGAGTCCTTCAGGAGACCTGTGCTTCCTTCTTCTTTACCTCACTCGTGCTTCTGTAACATTACATTCTTCGCTATCCCATCGGCTAGAAGGAAACATCTCTCCTCTTTTTCAAAGATAACCCATAATTTGCAGGTCTTAAGATAGAAATCATCGCTTTTGTTTTACTGTCAACTTCTCTCAGCTGGGTCCTTCCTCACTGCCTATAAACATCAAATAATGAAATAAAATTAAAAGTAATTCACAGAATCCTTTTGAATAAACTTAAATTTTAAAGCAAACTAATACTCTATAATTTGGTCTCAAAACAAGGCATCATCCTATAGCTAGACTATGAAAACAATTAAAATTTAATAACATACAAATTGTCTCTATAGTAGGTAAATCCTATAAAGGGCAGCTGATTTCCCACAAAAGCTTTAGGAATTGGGAAGGTTTCAACATCTCCTTTATCATCTTCGATGTCATCGAAGTTGCTGCTGTCTATGTCACTGCTGAGCTCAGGCACCACCGGAGCTGCCGCTGTCAAAAGAAGAGACATGAATTGCTTCATTCGCAACTGAAACATAAGACACAACCTCTACCTTGTGGCATATTATTAGTGACAATGTGATTGCACCATACTTTATCATTTCTTTCCTTCTTTTGGTCTTTCTGAGACAGGGTCTCGCTATGCAGTTGAGGCTAGCCTTGAACTTGTAATGATCCATCTGCCTCAGCCTCCCAAGTGCTGGGATTACAGGCGTGCACTACCATGCCTGGCTTTATCATTTCAAAGAATTCAAATTTTATTTATTTATTACTATGTCAGCTTTAAATACATATTAACCAATTAAACAAGTAAAGGTATATGATACTATTCTAGGTGCTAAGAATTACAAGAATAACATGCATATATATATTCTTTATGGTCCTCAGTTTTCTATATTGTTTAAGTAGAAGTATTTTTTCCCCTTATACTGAATAAATGTTGTGCTTTCGTGCTCTCTACACATATACAGTAAAAATCAATTACTATGCTGTGTTTTATGAGGGTATATTCTCCATAAATAACTGTTGACTTATCAATTCAAATGCATTCAAATTAAAGGATTATATTTGCTCCATTCTGAAAATTGAGATCCACAAAACTTCACTTGGAAAATAAATAAATGTATTATGTTTACTATAAAAGAACTGGGAAATATTGCTAATATATACATATCAGCTTGTTAATTATAAATACTGTTACAGAAAAAAATTTGAAATAAAATCTCAATTTAATAATGAGTTAACATAAAGTATATCGAACATGCCTATTATATCAAAGGAGGAGTCAGTTTATGAGATTTAAAATGTACTGGAATGGAAGTATTTAGATTTATTGACTTACTCTCTCTTATGTTATCCCAATTCCATTGATCATTCTTAAAGAAAGGGTGCAGTTTGATTTCTTCTACCCCATTTCTCCCAAGGCGTACCTCCCTAAACAGTGCAGTCAGAGATTATATTATAAAAATAATGAAAAAAATAAAAATATTAGCTCAACAGTTTAACCAAAAGAAAGAATCACAAATAAATTTGAGATATTTTTATCAAAAGCTTTCGCTTCAATGTTTTTCAGAGTAAGCAATCCTAATTTTATAGTATGCGATCTCTGTGGACAGGTTAGAAAGACTGTGACACACAGTAGGCACTGTGGAAAGTGAGATATGTTTCTGCCTGTAGTCTGAGTCAGATGGAAAGTGCCTGAGACTTTTTAGTAAGAAACTCCTCTGTGCTCCAAGCTGCAGGCCCACCAACCTCAGGATGGCCCCGAGATGTGGCTAGCGCTGGCGCAGAGCTAATACACAATTACAAATATCTCGCTTTCCTAAAAAAGAATTCATTAAGTTTGGATCTGTCTATATTTGCTTTTATAAATTATCTCTACATATAATATATTCAGCATCACCCTGAATACCAAAAAAATGTTACTAAGAATGAATTCCATCCTTTCCCCTTCTAAATTCAGTGAAGACCATTCCGGGTTGGGGTTGTAGCTAGTGGTAGAGTGCTTGCCTAGCATGCCTGAGACCTAGGGTTCCAGCTCCAGTACCATAAAAAGACAAAGCAAAACAAAACATAACAAAACACTGCATTTTTGCTCAGGTGTGCCCATAAACAGGAAAACCTGTGCCCTCTTGGCCACATTTACAGTGATTCTGTTTTCCATCTATCATTCTATAAATCTAATTCCTAAGATTGTACCTCCTTCCAAACCTGCTAAAACAAAATTTTCCATGGACAATACTTCTTTCATGAACACTCTGCACCTTGCTTACTCTGCAGTGCTGAGGATTAAATCTGGGCATTGCACATGCTAGGCAAGTGCTCCACTACTGAGCTATCCTCTCAAAGCTTTTTATTTTATTGAGGCAGGGTCTCAACTGCTCAGGCTGAGCTTGACCTTGGGGTCCTCTTGCCTCAGCCTGCCAAGCAGCAAGAATTATAGATGTGTGCCGTCAAGCCTGGTTATCCCTATTTAATAATGCAATCCCTACCAACCCCCACCTAGCCCCCAAATTATACATTCTACAGGTTCTATTTTGATTTTGTTAGTATGGATCATTAATCATATAATCAGAAGTTTTAAAGTTTTATTCTACAAATAATTGATAAACATAATTTTCTTCTCTAATAAAGATAAAATAACTTTTGTTGCCCCTCTCCTGTGGATGGAATGAAAAAAATTTATAATAGTTTGAAGAGACAAAATCAGTTATTCTTAATGGAAATATAAACGGATGTAGTTTCCTTGGGGGTCAATTTTGCGAAACAATTTAAAAATATGTACCCCAGAATTCTACTTGGAATACTGTCTGCTAGGAGAGTGTGCCAGCGGAACATGTGAGGACAGTCACTGCAGCACTACCAGCAGGCATCAATTTGGGGAGGGGTGGGGGCAGGGCCTGCCGCTCAGCTGCAGCTGTCAGAGTGGGAGTCAGAGCACAGGGCAGGTACCCTCTGCCACCTCTGCCTGCACTCGGAAGGCTGCTACGACCACATGGCATCCAACTGATGAGCACAAGAGGACAGAGGAGAAACACCAAGGGAAGAAAATCATACGGCTTCCTAGTTTCACTTTTTGAGGCAGCTTTTCACATCTTTATTCATCTATTTTGTTTTTAAAAATACAGTTTCCAAGACTGAGTTGTTCATATTAAAATGCAAATGAAAAAGGGTTGGGAAGATGGACTCCTGCATCAAACATAGTTCTTATAATTATGAACTGTTAAGTATCTACACAAACTGCTCTCTTTTCAAAAGCTGTATAATCAAGAGTAATAAGGATCAACCAAACCACCTTAAGAGGGTAAAGAATACAAACATTTATTTCTTTCCAGTGCATTCTTTTACTGAGTTCTGATTTGTTCTTTTCAGACATAAGGATTATGATTAGAGTTAGATTACAACTGGGCTGTGCACAGAAAAAGGTGAGGTAACCCAACACCAGGCTTAGCAGTAGAAAAAGGCCAGCTCTGAATTAAACGCAACTCAGACAGGGAGAGCCTGATTGCATACAGTCAACACAATGGCTTCCATTTCAACAAATTTAAAAGTAAAAGGACTTCTTTACAAAGAAATTTAATATGCATTACCTTTCTGTTAAGAAGGCACAGATGAGATTCTTTGCATGTTTAGAAATTTCTGCATCTTCGGGGATAGACAGTGAATTTTTATGATCCATAATTTTGCTGTAAGTCCCTACAAGTGAATCTGCATAGAATGGAGTATCTCCTAAAATTCCAAGAAAACAAGACACTGAATATAATAGCAAATTCAAATGTAAACTTCCTATCTAACATCTGACAGGTCACACGCATGGAGGAACTAATGGCCTGTGAGGCAGGGGTCCCAGTTAAAACCAAGTGACACACGCAAGAATGTATTTAAGCTTTAACCATACCAGTAGTCCCTTAGAAACAAACTAAATCAATGCTAACTCTAGAATTCATTTTTTAACAGAAGAAGGTGAAGGGCTTCCTAAGGAATTTCAGAGCAAGCTCCCTCAGCGGGGTGGGACCAGTCAGAATTCTGGGCTGCTGGATGGGCTTTTGGAGACTCCCGAGAGCTGTCACCCAGCCCAGGGGCTGCTAGCCCTGTGTGGCATCTAAAGTCACAATGGAACTGGACAACATGAAAGTTGGCTTCTTCGCACACACGCCAGTTGTGTTTCAGGTGTTCAGCATGTCCACTGGTTGCTGCCCTGGGTGTGCAGATGTGAAACTGCTTCTCTGACAGCCACTGGGAGCGCTCGGCACATGTCTACCACTTCACACAGACAGGCCGGGCCACAGGGCAGCCTCAGGGTCCTGCCCATGAAGGCAGGGAAAGGGCAGGTTATCTCCTAGGTGGGCAATGTTCTTGCTGACGAGTGACACAGGCACTGAAGCTGGCATTAAGGCCCTGTCCCCTGCCTGGACTCCAAGTAATGTTAGTGCCAGCTGGGCTTCTCTCACACAGCCAACCCAAATAGTACAAGGTATACTCAAGGAACTCAAGGAAGTGCCATTTTGTTTAGTAACGTGATGGCGAACCTTTTGGAGCTTTCAATGATATGGCCCACTGAGGCACACGTGCCATAGGTTTGCCGCCACTGGTCTAGTGCAATGGAACCCTTTGGATGAAGTCCAGTGCCCATCAACCTCAGCAAGCATCTCCATGGGATCAGAACCTTACAGAACACAGCCATTCAACTGATTCTGGTCTCAGACTTGAGCACAGCAGTGGGAATTTAAACGGCCTACTCAAACAAGCCTTATCACTTCCTTCTAAATATCTAATTTTCTAACTCTTAGGACAGGTGGGCAAATAAGAAAAGGCACCCTACTTTCAAAAGGCTACTAGATGCATCCTGAGGCATCATCAGAACACACACAGATGGCCACTGGGGCTGTGCGTGTGTGGAGACTCACAGAGACAGAAGCCCAAATCTCTGAGGCAGCCACACTGGGAAAGGTGCCTGGACACAGGCAGTGCTCTGTACACTGCTGTCACTAAGACAGGGGAACTTAGGGCACAGAAATGTTCTGTAGCAACTGTTAATTACATTAAACCAGCCACTTCTGACTTTTTAGCAATGGCCCTACTCTATTATCATACAGATTTTATACTTTCTTTAGGGTCAGCTTCTAGGAAATAAATTCTGTATTGCCCAAAATTTTACTTCTAAAGTCACTGCACATATTATTAGTATCGTCACACACACACCTTAGGAGATATGTTCAGCTACATTTCCCTCTACCCCTAGCCAGGTAATTTAGTCACTGGCTTCTTTACCTAGATATTTTTTTTTGTCTTTCTGAGACAGGGTCTGGCTCTGCAGTTCAGGCTGGCCTTGAGCTCACTTTGTAGCCCAGGCTGGTCTCAAACTCACAACAATCCTCCTGTCTCAGCCTCCCAAGTGCTGAGATTACAGGCGTGTGCCACCATGCCCGACTTTGAAGATGTTTTTGTGATGGACATTTTTTGGTAACCCTAGTATTTTTAGAGATGTGAAATTGTGAAACCTTTGATGTAAACAAAAGTTTTGATTTTGAATACTGATTTAGATTTTTAAATTTATTAAATGTGCCTGAGTTTTCTGAAACTGAAACATAATAAAAGTATGTTTACCTTGATAATCAAATGGTAAAGAATTATATTCGTTATTTATTTCATTGGAATTACAAGCCCAAAATATATACAGGCAGTAAACAAAAGAACAGTTTACAAAATCAGTAACATCACAAAGTTATGAAGAAAATTTAGCTATCTCTCACTACTGGAACAGATAATAACAGCCTTATTTTTAAAAATGTGAAACAAATGTAAGTATCAAGGAATCTGAGCATGGAAGCCCCTGAAGCTGTACACCTACCTGCTCTTGTTAGTATTCTCTTAATTTGAAATGTCTCATACCTACAGGCCAAGCCTTCCACAGTCTGTTCAGTCATGGCCAGATCAATGTCAGTCATACGGACTCAAAGTTTCCAGAAATTCCAGTTTTTCCCTTTGACCCAGGTGATTTCATTACATTCTCAAATTCTTGACCGAACAAAAGTGTTATGAAAAGGGTTTTGAAAAAAGAGCGACTTAAAATCTTTACTTACCCACTAGCATTTCAAAAAGGAAAACCCCTACAGACCACCAGTCACACTCTCGCCCGTAATAACCGTCGCCCCCTTGCGACTTCAGAACCTCGGGCGATATGTAGTCTGGGGTTCCGACCGCTGTATCACAGTGCACCATGCCTGTCTGGGGAAGCAGCAGAGAAGCAGTGTGGGTCAGTGTGGAAACACATGCGTGACACAACTCGCCCACTTCCTGTTAGCACAGTGACCACTTCTGCGATGGGGGAAGGGTTGAACACTGTGTGAAGTGCACCGACATGTCAGACTGTGGGGATCCGGGGTGAGCTTTCAACTCTGAGACACAGGACCTTCATCAGTCAAAGAAGGAAAAGGTGGTGATCTCTGTGAGACTATGCAAATCAACAGCTTTTAGGGTTCTATCCTCATCCCCTACTTCATAAAGTAGTTGTAAGAAGTACAAAACATGGACCCAAAGCACCTACCCTGGGGAGAGGAAAAGCAGCCCTAACTGTTCTGAAAGAAGCTAAAGTGACTGAGAGAATTAATGGCTCCAGGGATAGAAGGGTGTATAAATAAATAGTTCTTATTTTATTCAGAAAAACAATGAAGGAAATAGATTAACAATGGAATTGAAAGATCTTAAAATTTTAAAAGCTATACTTTTAAGCTACATATGGTAAAATACACAGATGTGGTGTTAATACCCTTGGCAAAATGGTAAACCCCCTAATCTGTGTTTAGAAGGTAATAAAATAACTGCAAGCCAGTGTGGCAAAGCTGAGAATCGTGCATAGGGTGGGTGTGTTGCCAGGCAGCATCGCTGCTGCCTCACAGAGTTGAATGTGCCCCATTCCAGCTCTGTCCTGCCTCAGGGACTCCACTGATGAGCAGCAATGTCCTTCAGCACCTCTGCCTGCCCTGCAGAGACTGTGTCATCTACACTTCTTATAAAGATGCTATTAAAAACAACAAATCGCTAAGTATTAATCCCTTGGGAAAAGGAAGTCCAACTGGTTCTGTAAACATGATTTATGTAAATGTGTTTATTTAGGTGCTATTAAAAACATCTTAAACATGGGAAATTAATTTCAAAAACATTTGTCTTCACCCCCAAATTGGCAGAAAAAAAAATTGGCAGAAAAAACTCCCTAAATTTCTTTTCCAAGTACCTAGCATATAGGGAATAAGTAATTTTCCTATGGAGATAAATGAACGGCTTTTCTGGAATGTGAACCAATTGTGGGAGTAACACTGTGTGTGCTGCTGCATAGGGCAAAAGAAAACACAACAGTGTTCAGTGTTTGACTTCACAAGCAGGGCACAGTTTCTCTTTTTGATGGTGCTGGGCAGTGCCCTGCTCCTCTGTTGCCCCACACTGCCCAAGGGCTATCCTATATTTTACACTTTGATGGGGGACATTAATAGGGTAGTCAGAGTAAACAAACTCTTAATTTCACCTGAATCCATAGAAATTAGACTTTGTAAAAAATTTTTTGACTTTCTGAATCAGGGTCTTGCTATGCAGTTCAGGTGGGCCTTGAGCTCACTTTGTAGCCTAGGCTGGTCTTAAACTTGCAACAATCCTTTTGCCTCAGCCTCGTGAGTGCTGGGATTACAGGCGTGCACCACCACGCCTGGCCAGAAATTAGACTTTACTAAAACATGAATCATGTGAAGACTTAAAAGCTAAACTCGCATTATGCACACACAAATACAAACAAAAACCTATTTAGCATTCAAAGGCTCCGAGGAAGGGACAGGCAAGATGAAAGAACCCAGGTAAAGTTCAGGCTGTGAAGAACAGACAAGTTAAAGGAGTGACAGCACTGACAGCTCAGGAAGAAAAGAGCATGAAAAGAAGAGAAGAGTGGCCTCACATAAATGCTGGAAAGTCCAAGCCAACTAAAGGCCAAGTGCCACACAGTGAGGGAGGAAGGACAGGCTGGACGTCAGAGCAGTAAGTACTGCAAAATAAACATTTCGGTAGAACTCAACATTTTTGAGTAAGTAAACTATATGAACAGTGCTCTCCTTTGGAAAAATTAATGTTCAACCCATAATTCTTGGCTACTATATTGAGGTTTTTAAAAATTAACATTTGAAAAACTATTTAAGATGTCTCAAAATCACCTCATGAGGAAGCTCTCAGATTATGTGCATCTACAACCTCAACATCTGACAAGTCTCTCTCCTCTGAATAGAACCCTGGGAAGGACGGAGCCGAAACTGCAGGCTGAGAGGGAGCAGAGGGCAACGGGAGAATGGGCAGCACAGAGCGGGGGCGAGTGACCCTGCCTGGACATGCACTTTGTAGAGCACTAACTCTTAAAACCGGAAGAAGTTTCCCACATAACAAAGACAGACCTAACTCTGTCTTGGAATGAATCCCCTGACAACCCTGTATAGGACTAGGAGGATAAGTACTACTCCAAGTAACTCTGGAAAAGAATATTTTAACAGGATGCAGTAAGGATACAAACAGTAAGTATATTTAAAGGTCAGTAAATCTCTTTGCTACAGTGGTAGGGACTGGCAATGAGGAAACACGTTGAGGTATTTGCTATGGTTAAACAAGTCAATATACCACATAGGTAATGATAGCCAGGTTTTTGTTGTTAAAGAAATTACAAAAAAGAAAGAAGGAAAAACAGAATGAACTTTGTGGTGCTGGACTTGAGTCAGATGTGTCAGTATGAATGTATTTAATGTACTATACATAAAGGCTGGGTAAAGTTAAACACATGTGGACATGTGGTTTAGCACACAGATAAGACAGAACCTGTCTCCTGTCCTGTCCCCTGACAGGTGTGGCTTAGCACACAGTGTAGACAGTACCCATCTCCTGTCCTGTTCTCTGACAGGTGTGGCTTAGTATACTGAGTACACAGTACCTGTCTCTTGGCATGTCCCTTTATGGGTGTGGCTTAGTACACAATGTAGACAGTAGCTGTCTCCTGTCCTGTCCTGACAGGTGTGGCTTAGTACACAGTGTAGAAAGTACCAGTCTCCTAGCACTGTCCCTTTATGGGTGCGGCTTAGTACACAGTGTAGACAGTAACCGTCTACTAGAGCTGTCCCCTGACAGGTGTGGCTTAACACACAGTGTAGATAGTAGCTGTCTCCTACTGCTGTCCCCTGACAGGTATGTTTCAGGACACAGAGGGTACAGCACACACATCTCCCAGTGCTGTCTACTGGCAAGGCCTATACAGAATGATGCTCCAGGAAGAATGAGCACATCTGGTCTCCAAATACTGACTCCCCAATTCTGTTCTCTACTAAAAGAAGCAGGGCTCCCTGGGGAAGTCTCTCGCTCTAGGGCTGACAGGGAAGACAGTCCTGAGGATTTTGTAGTGTCCAAAGATAAGAAGATGCTACAAAGAGGCACACGCTGAGAGGAGAGTGGAGCAACAGTGGTGGCCCAGTTCCAATGCTGAGTAGGAATTCTCCAGATAGCCTGTGCAACAGCACCTATGAGGGCCAGGACTGTGAGGACCACAGTAGAGAGCACACTCCATGGTGACTCCTGACGCTGAGCCGTACGCACTGCCAAATGACAGGGAGTAAGAGCATGTGTAGGTCCTGTAGTGAGAGGCTTCACATGACAAGGAGCAACAAGAAGTCTACTGACGTTTTGCAATACAGGGAAAGAGAATCAGGTGTTTAAAAAAGGTCCTTGGCCAGGGATATAGCTCAGAGGCACAAGTGCCTGCCTGGCAAGCGCGAGGTCCTGAGTTTGATTCCCAGTACCAAAAAAACCTTAAAAATAAAAATAAAATAAAATAAAAAAGGTCCTCAAAGTTACGTTAAACATTTCTTTCAGAGGGAAGAACCAAGAATTTACTGAAAGCAAAAAATTGGTCAATCATAAATCTTGGAGTTGTCATCAAAAACACTTCAAATTACTGTCTGTGAGGGTGGGAAAGAAAAACTGCATATGAGGTTCCTAATTACCAGAAGCAAGCGGTAAGCACCACGGTGTAACAGTCGCCTGGCAGGGGCTTTGCAGCCCTCTCTGAAAAAACACAAAGCAGCCACTTGTTTACCTTTCAGAGACTCTGCCTTTAACCTCTGTGGTTCTCAGTGGTGCAGCCCTGCCACTCCCTGTCTCACAAATGCACAATCCAAAGGGTCCAGCCCCGCATCCACGAGCTGCCTTGGTGCCCACCACTGCACAAAGCTGTCTCTAGAACACATGCGTGGGAGTGCAGCACATAAACACCACAGATTACAGAAGTTTATCGTTCTATCAGAGAGCTACTTCAAACTTTACTGTGACTACAGATAATGTCCAATGTTAATCATTTCATACTGTACTATGGCAAATACCACAAGAGGGAGCCTCAGGAACAACCAAAACCACCCGCTGAACCCTGGACACAGTAACAGACTCTGTACACCAACTTTTTAAAGTCGTCTTGTAGAATCTAACAGTAAAATACAAAAAGGAGGCAGTATCACTCCCCATTAGGAGAGAAGGGCAAAGCACAAATAAATCAATATGATGATTAGCTATGAGACTAATGTTCCTGGAGCTATTAATAATATGAGTTATTTAATGAGTAAAGCATCACAATAAGTGATGCCCTCAGCCAGGCATGGTGGTGCACGCCTGTAATCCCAGCCATTGGGAGGCTGAGGCAGGAGGATCATTGCGAGTTCGAGATCAGCCTGTGCTACAAAGTGAGCTCAAGGCCAGGCTAAACTGCATAGGGAGACCCTGTCTCAAAGACAAAAAAAAAAAAAAAGTGATGTCCTCAACTGTATGCTCTGTGGTTGACACAAGAGGTTGGGAGGGAGGTAGTGACACATTTCTTCCCTATTTTTTCCTTAACTCCTTAGTTAAAAGAAAACTACAGAAATCCCAAATGGTAGACATACTTCTGTACCTGGATTTAGATTCTGTGCCCTAATCCTATACCTAGATCATTGTCTTATTTTTTCTCATTGCTGAGACAAAATATCCAATACCCAGAGTTAAAGGAAGAAAGGTTTATTTGGCTCACAGTCTGAAGAGGTTTCAGTGTGTAGTTGGCTGGCTCCAAGGCAGGGTGGCATGGCAGAGAAGCAGTTCATGGTGGGCAGAAGGCACCAAAGTAGCAAAGAAGCCGCAAGTGACAAGTGACAACAGCATCCCTCTTTCTGTCCCTTATATTCTACCCAGGATACCTGCCCTTGGGGTGAGTGCCACTCACACCCAGGGTGGGCCTTGCCATTATCCACACCCAGAACTATGCCAGATTCAAACATTTCTTGAGTTGGTGGACTAATTTAGTAATCACACACTGTTAACCCTAGCATCATACACTCTAGATGTAGCCACCTCTGAAAAGGCCTACCTATCAGCGCATGAGGCTTTGGGCAGGACCCAGACACAAGGCATAACAATCATTAAGCACATGAACCACTTTGATTGACAGCAAATATTTTTGACATACCGTAAGGAAGATAACTAAGTTATCGGTTTTTCTTTCTCTTGCATGCAGCAAATCTACCAATATTATATACTTAAATGAATGACTAGCAAAAGAAACATTTGGATCTGGTTTGTAATCAGCCACACTCAGTGAATCTTCACCCACTCTGCAAAGTCCTGGTTTGAGGTAGCACCTACTCCACACTCTCAGCCTCCTTACCTCATCCATCTTCATACAGGTGCCAAAGTCTGCCAGCTTCAGGTGCCCGTGCCTGTCCAGCAGCATGTTGTCGGGCTTCACATCCCTGTGGATCAAGCCCATGGAGTGAATCACATCCAGAGCCAGAACCACTTCTGCAGTGTAGAACTTAGCCCACTTCTCGGGCACGTCATAGTTGCTCATCAGGTTTACAAGGTCCCCACCGGGCATATATTCCATGACCATGTACAGATACCTGTCATCCTGGAAGGCACAAAAGAGCTGAAAAACAAGAGAAAAAGAAAAAAACAAATACAAACTTATAAAGGGAACAAAAACCCTTTTCATCAGTGAAAAAGACAAGCTTTTTTATAACAAACTGAGTTAAAATTTATGAGATCCTTTATTTTAGACTTGGACACATTCAATGGTGAAGCAGGAGGACATAAGATTTTTATAAGACATGTAAAAATCAATGTTCTTTTCTCTGGGAAAAACCCAATACTGTACAGAAAACTATTTAAATACAAACACCTGAAAAGTGAAGCAGGATGGGAATGAGGAACATACATAGTGCAAATGAGAAGAATTCACTATACATAGTTTAAAAACAAATAGCTTTTTGAAAACTAAACACACTATTCACACACCCCTCACAGAAAGGAGATGGGACCAGTCTAGAAACATGTAGAAGCTACGCATTCACTGGATATCAGCAAGGTCCCAGTGCCAGGGACACACATGCACAGCACCAACTCTGTTCTTCACCCCCGACAGCCAGTGGCATTGTCACTGGCACCGCGAGTATGAGCACTAGAACAGGCGGCTCCAGGACTGCAGAAAAGACTGAAACCCCACTTGCCAAGGAGGATCTGTGCATCTAGCACAGGACCCCCCCCACACCCCAGAAACAAGCGATGCCAACAGCAAAGCACTTCAAGAAACAAAATTAATACTCAAGGAAATGCCACATAACACAAATTGAGGACAGCTGTAAATATGTAAAGTCAAGACATACAAAAGCTGACAAATATGGCACTAATTAAACAGTAAGCTGATATCCTGAACCCTAAGAGCTAAGTACCTGATCCTGAACTGGAGAACAGATGACATAGAAAGTGAGCAAATAAACTCTCTGAACACACTGAAGGATTAAGAAATAATGAGGGGATTTATTATGTACGGCAGACATCTACTAATACAAAATAAAAGAAAGATGAGGGGAACAAGATTGCTAGTGCTACGGTGCAGCCCCCAGGGAGGTGCTACTGGGAGCAGGGCACTGTTGAGAGGTGAGGCTGAGGGGTCTGGGATCAGCAGCCACTGGAGAAGACTGCGTGGACCCCAAGGACACCGGGGGCCCAGGGTCAGTGTCTGCTCCTCAGGGTCCTGCACACTCCTGCCTCTGTTGTGTCAATATAATATAGTTGAGGCATTCTCTGTATAAATCCAGCCCTGCTAAAGCTTATCTTAAAATTTATGTGGAAATGCACAGCACCCAGAAGAACCAAAATAATCCTGGCCAGGACTAAGTAGAAGAACTTCTATTTCCACATGTTAACACTTCCCACAAAACTAAACAAGACAATATTGATACTAATATAAGAATCCACACACAGAACAATGGAACAGAACAGTCTAGTAACAAACTCTTGTATTTAACAGGGGAAAGGTAGTATTTTTTAAAACAGTGCTCAAACAACTGGATACCTACAGGCAAAAAGATGAACATTTTTAGACCCTTAAAATGAAAATGTCATTAAGGGGAAAACGCATTCTATACGTGCACACAGATTACAGCTTAGCACTCCGCATCAGTGGTTATCAGCCCTGTAACTGGCTGGGAGCTGAGGTCTGCACCCCTGCCCAGTAGAGAGAGTATTAGGTCACATCTTCCCAAGTGGGCAGAGAGAGACTGCAGCTCAAAGCCTGAAGTGCAGCTGTCTCTTTACCCTGTGACCATATGTTAGTGAGACAGGTTCTGAGCTCACAGAGGAGGAGGAGGAACGCTGGCACATGAGGCCAATGGCTGTGGCATGTCCACAAGAAGGATGACGGGTGGAAGTTCAGCCTAACGGGGCCAGGGGTGAATCCCAGGAAGACACAGAGAGTAGTGTGATGTGACTGGGAACTTGTTCTCTTGTCAGGAGAGATGTGACCAGGACTGATGAAACCTGAGTGGGGCCTGGGCGTGAACCAGTGCGGCATCCCTGGTAATGTTGTCGTGTCCTAGAGTGCTGCTAGGGTCTGTGGGAGATGCCATCCCTGTGAAGTGCAAGCCAAGGGCTTCAGGTGCATGGCTGGATGTTGTATGGTCTCCCAAACTTGTGTGGTGAGACCCTGACCCCCCGTGCTCAGGGGTCACAAGAGTGGGTTTCTGCTATAGGATCAGGGACACAATGAGAGCTTGACTAACTCTGCTCTGCCAGGAAGGCAGTTGAGAGGGGGCTGAAGAGGGGGGCTGACCAGGACCAGGCCGCTTGCCTACGCTTGACCACATTGGTGCTGTCCCAGAGCTGCAGCCTGCAGCAACTGGAGAAGGGTCCCGTGCACGGGGTCTCTGTGGCCAGGATGGCCCTGCTCTGCCCAGGAGAAAGACCCTTCAGGGAAGGACAGTTACAGCACACACTTGAGAAGGGGTCACATCCAAATGAACAACTAGAACTCCTATTGTTGGTTTGTTTGTAAGTGACAGACATCCCAGGGGAAGGAAAAATGAAGAGACTCACATAGGCATTTCGTAGATGACATTTAAACATGAGAAGGTATTCAATTCCATTAGAGGAGACATCTAAATTACTGTGCACTATCGTTTCTCATGCATTAAAATGACCAGAAAAAAATTTTAAACTGACAATATCAAGCGTTATCAAGAATGGGACACAAGTGGAATTTGTAAACGAACCCCACAACTGTGCTGAACCCACCGGACACCAGCTAGGACTGGGCACAGGGACCTGGGCATGCTGCTCTATGTAGGAGACACCCAGCAGGGGTAAGATGCAAACCCCAATACACTGTGAGTAAGAGACAAATTTCAGAAAACACGCCAATACTGTCGTACTACAGACAATGACATCAAATGTAGCAATGAAGTGAATACGCTGTAGCAACATGTGCACATCTCACAAAGACCTGGTGACTTCTTAGGAGACAAGGAAAACTACTCCAATTCATTTGCCTTGTTTTAAATTAGACAATACTAGCTATGGAGGCTTTGGCTAGCTTCTTCTCTATATGAGAAGTGTATTTTCAAACAACTTTAGAAAACACGTTCAGTACAATCTGATGTAGAATCTGGTAAGATGCGAACAAATTGATGGTGATAAAAATATATATGGAGCAGGAAAGGGTTTATTAGAAAGTTTTGCAAAGCTTATGAAAATGTAAGCTATTTAAGGCCTCTGGTTACTCACTGTAACCCTTATCAACAGGCATTCATTCTCTGGGAAATACTCTAAAGTGCTTTTACTAAGAAACAAGTAGTGTTGATGGTATTACATGCTATAGACTTAACTGTAGTCAATTTTGTTGGTATTTGTCAGACACAGAAGTTGAATAATCTGACTCACTTCACCACACAGCAGTTTAATGGCTTAGCAGCAGCTAAAACTTTATTGTAATTATTCGAGCTCAGAGCTGAGACTGAAATTTGTCTGAGGAAGAACAACTCTCAACCACTTTACCAAACACTGAAAAGCTTTGGAAATTAACTTCTGCTACACACCTGATAACGTTTCTTAGTTATCACAACCTAAAATTACAAGGCAAAACACTGCTTATAAGTATAACTTATACTACATACAATCACTTTGATGACATCAGTTGCTTTATAAACAGCTTACAAACAAGAAGTAAGATCTCCATTTCTACACAAACTTGTAGTGGATATATTTTCTGGACTCACACTAGTATCACAATATGACAGAATTTTTGTACAAAATCTAATTGCAAAAGAAAACTCCTATTAGAAAACTCATTCAGCCTTTGAAGTTGAGAGCTTCTACCTAATCTTCAAATGCAATGCTTAACCTCTAGTGTAATAACCTTATTAAATAGCTAAGATCAAGAAAGACATTTTAAAAAATGCTTCAAATGCCTTCCCCAAGTCATAAATGTGCTCAAAATCACATGCTCCGGGAGGCTGAGGCAAGAAGATCATTGCGAGTTTGAGATTAGCTTGGGCTACAAAGTGAGCTCAAGGCCAGCCTGAACTGCATAGCAAGACCCTGTCTCAAAAAGACAAAAAAATAAAAAAATAAAAAATTAAAAAAAAAAATCACACACCCAAGGTCAATATCAACAATCATAAATATGAGCAGGTCTCCTTAATATATCACTGAAGTGGTGCTTTATGTGCTTTCTCTCAAAAAGAAAAGAGATGAACCTAATCTAAATAATAAAATATCAGATATATTTCAATAGAGGAGCATCTATATCCTATAATATACCAGACAAGTACTCCCCAAAACTGTCAAAGTCATCAAAAACAATAAAAGTGTGAGAAACTGTCACAGCCAATGAAAGCCTAAGACATGATAACAAAATGTAACATGATATGATACCCTGCGACAGAAAAAGACATTAGGTAGAAATGGAAAACCCTGAATATATGGTAGACTTTAGTTACTAATAATACATCAATATCGATGCATTCATACATTTGCAAGACATTAAGAAAGAAAACTAGATGGGGAAGGCAGTTCTTTCTATGACATTCTTAATTTTTTAATAAATCTAAAGGCTTTCTTTAAAAATAAAGGCTATTATCTGGATGTCGGGGGGCCACACCTGTAATCCCAGCACTCAGGAGGCTGAGGCAGAAAGATCGCTGCAAGCTCAAGGACAGTGTGGGCTACAAAGTGACTCAAGGATAGCCTGAACTGCATAGTGAGACCCTGTCTCAAAAGACAAAAAAAATAAATAAATAAAGGCTATTATAAAATAAACCGTGTGCTGGTAAATGGTGACAAGCATTTGGTGGTACATAAGTGTGTAAAGAGACATTTTCAAAGACGAAGATGCACAATCTTCTTACTTATCAGCATTACCACATGAACATCTGCCCTCAATTTTGATGGCAGGAAACAGTAATTGTGAACCTCGATTAAGCAAAATGTTATCACTCTAGCAAAGAATTTCATTGCTCTTCTCTGTATTTTTAAAACTTGTACTTTCAAATTGCTATCTGACTAGTCCTTGTCTGCAGTACATAATGACCACATGCATCACAGGAGGCGGGGAGACATACATGACAGGTTTCTATTCTTTTACAATCCCTT